AGCATTAAATTTGATGGGTTTATTTCAGTCTCTTTTATTTATGACTGGCTAATATGAATTTATTTGCCCATTTATGTATATGTCAGTTGCAATACCAAGAACATCACCAGAGGGTTTAATAATTGCAAATAACAAATAATTTCATTTATTTAGCTTTACCTTTAAAATTTGATTGCTTTTGTTCGCGGTGTCAATTTAAATGAGCTTATGCGTTGAATTTAATTAAATTAAATTATTGGATGTGGAAAATTGTGATGTTTCATGGAAGCCAGTTTACAACAAGGTGGTTGAGTTGTGATTTTCCAATGATGACCATTCTATTAATGCCTGCCTGCCTGCCTGTCATGAAAAAAAGATAATCAATTAAATGTGTGACATTTGATTGGCTCAATAGCTAACTGTAATAGCTCCACTTTGTGCGCCTGTCTCTTGCTTAGATGACTCACCGTTTCCCGGAGTTTTCCCCCATTTTCCTTCCGCCAAACCTCCCGCCCTTTTTGGCCACGACTGCACTTTGTGTCAATGCTATGCACATCAGCCGCGGCAGAACGTCAATGGCAGTCAGTGTCTTTGCCATTCAGTCAGTCACTCAGTCACTCAGTCATCCAGCCAGCAGCCATTGCCAAGATGGAGATGGAGATGGCGATGAAGATGAAGGCACACGCTACTTAGTCTGCGAAATTGCCGACTCTGGCACTTTGCATGTGCGTATATGCGCTATATGGCCCCTCCCGACCATATCCACCAATGATTTTCCCCATTTTCCTACGGCAAACTCCTATTGCTTGCACAGTTGTTTGCATTGCAGCGGCAGATGCTGTCAATAATAAATTTCCGTTAGAGCCGCAGCAGATTTGCAAGAGGGAGGAGAACCAGTTGGCTCGCCAGGCGGCACGTTTGTGTCGTGGGTAGAGTGGGAAAATTGGGTGGAAAATTGGGTGGAAAATGGTTAGAAAAGGGGAAAGGGAAGGCAAGGAAGGCCAGGAAGGAAGCACATAAGCGCATTGCCCAAGACAAGATGGAGATTGGGAAAAAGGAAGGAGATTGCAGCTCGGCACTAAAAAGATGACATAAAGATAGAGACGGGCGGGTGTTGAAATTGAATAGGGGTAACGAAGCGTCAGGTTCATGGGGTTGGGCATTCTAGGGTGATTCTGGAGGAGGAAGGAAAAATCGAGGGAAAGGGGTGCTAGAAGTAAGGAAAAGCATGGTGCAAAGAGTAAAAAGGGGGCCAAGGAAAAACAAATCGCACTGCAGGCATGCAAACGATGCGCTGTCGCCTGATAAAGTATACGACCGATTGCCCGTTTCTGCTCGACGGGCCAAAAGGGAAAAAATCGCAGACGCTCAGCCAGACGGTGGATGCAAATGGAAAATGGAAAATCATCAGGACGCTGGGTTTTGGGCGGAAAAGGGCGGCCAGATCCATGGCATCAAGATGGAGAGAAGCAGCTGGGGAAGCGGCCAAGACGAGAGCGACACGTTGATAAATTTATTGAAATTCTATTGAAACGAAACGATTTGACTGCGCCAAGGACCACGGACCAAAAGACAGAGACAGAGACAGAGAAAGCGACAGCGACAGATGTAGAGCGCCAGAGGGAGACAGAGAGACCCACACAAATCGCTGATAAAGTGGAAAATGAGTGCAAAACAAAAAGAAAAGTGCAGAAGAAAATTGTCTCCATGTGGAAAGAGGAGCATCAACTGTAGTAAATTGCAAATAAATTTCATGATACTGCACACTGTAAGAATGAAATAGCAAAGTATTTTTTGAATTAAAAAAAAAATAAAGTTTAGTTATTGATTCCATGAAAATAAACTTAACAAAATGTTTATAGATAGTATCAAAGAATGCTATACATTTTTACCAATATTTTTAATATTTAATATTTATTTTTTTTTCTTCTTTAACACTTTGTTTTACAATATCAATTTTTGTTCCTTTTCTTTGTATGAGATTCTTAGATGATTTTTTTATGAATTTGCTTTTATCATGTAATAAAACTTTGTGTAATTTATCACTTATTAAATTGCTATACTTTTATCATTAAATGTTACATCATTACATGTAGGTACTATTTTTCTGTCTGTCGCATGAAATGGCATCCACCGCGTGGGCAATTAAACTTTTGCCATTGCATAAATTTTATCTTGTTCTGGCGGGCGGCTTTTATAGGTATTTTGCCTATTTCGGCGAGGATTGGGCACAACAAAATCTTGGCAAACTTTGCACTTAATTTTTAATTTTCTTCCATTCGGCCTTTGACCGGCCGCACTGGACAAGCGATGCTCAATTTAACCTGGCCAAGGAGAATGGAGATGGAAAAGCGAGCAACAAGCAGATGAAAATGCTCGACTGCGTACCGCAGTAAAAAAAAAATGAAGGAAAGTCGGAAAATCTCGGCTCAAAAAAGCAGCCGCATTTCTGTAGTATACTTAAGGGGGAGGGGTCGGTTTGTCCATGGAAAATGATGGAGGAGAGACAGATATAAAAAAAAAAAACAACCGGCAAGGAAAAATTCTTCTGGTGGAAGGGGGCGTAGAAAAGGCCAAATTTAATTTGTGCTCAGTGGCTGTGGCAACTCTGGGCCATGTTGGTGTTGTTGTTGTTGTTGGGCCATGAAGAAATTGCTACCCAATTACGTAATAAAATCTGACTGAAGTTTCTACTCTTATTATTTAATTTTTTCTTTATCTTTTCTCTCTTTGCCCTCTTCCTCCTAAATGGGGAGCAAATTGTTCGAGGGGATTTGGCAGGAATAAAAAGAAAACAGGAAAAACAGCGTTAAGGGAGGTGGAAAATTCGCGGGAGCTTGGTAGAAAATCCCGCTTGGCGCTTATTAAGAAATAATGCTGTAGAAACCAAACGCAAAGGCGTCAAATCAACTTTTGTTTTGTTTTCTCTCCTCGCCAGCAGCAAAATATTAAATTGGCCAAAATACAAAGAAAATAAATAAACAAAAACTAACAAAGAGAAATGCAAAATAAGCCTAGTCTTGAAGCAAACGACATCACACATTAAATTATTAAAAGCTCTAAAGAAAATAAACACTATCAAAATGCCTTAATTATTAAGTGGTTTTCGTTTGAAAAAGGATTTTAGGAATTAAAACGAATTATAGTCCGAATCAAGACGCAGACATAAAAAAAACTTTCCAAAGGACCTTAAAACAAAAGAAACAACATTTAAAAACATACATTTTTTGTTGTGGTAAAATATTTATGTTGAGAAATAATACATAAATCCAATGTCGAAATACTTTTTAATATAAATCTCTTAAGCATTTATTGCCACAATTCGAGCTCAGCAGAACTTCATTTCGATTGTTAAACAAACGGCAATAAATGAGTTTTGGCCAACAAACTGTCGTTTTGGCCACCAAAGGAACAGAGGAAAACCAGAGCCGAAATCAAAAAACAAGAAGGAAATGCTGGAAAGTCCGGAAAATTGCAAAAAGCTAGCAAAGGGCCAAAAACCCTGGGTAATAATAAGTGCCCTGTGGGGCAGCTTAGTAAAATGCACAGAGAGTATCTCGGATTTCTCAAAACAGTACCCACTACGTGTGTACATCAGTGAGTTTGTAATTTAAGTACATTTTGTATATGAACAAGCCGCTTTCCAAAAGTACAGGTGTACATTAAAGCCCCCAGAGGTAAATTTTGTGGCAAAGCGAGAAAAGCGTCAATTTTTGTGGGTTATTTTTGAATCTGAGTATTAAATTATGCGTGTGCAGTACATTAGAAAAACACAAATAAAAAGCGGAAAAACATGAAAAATACATAGAGGGCGCAAAAAATGGGGGACAAATGATGCGATAAGTGAAGCGATAAATGAACATAAAAAAGAGACAAAAAGCGAGACGAAAAGTGGGAAAATGAAGCTATAGTTTACTAAATTATATCAAGTAAATAAATACTTATATACTTATATAAATACAATATATAAATACAATATTAAAAAAATAAACTTTAAAATTTTCAAAAGTTTATGGATCACAAAGCTCTGTGTTTATCACATTTAAATAAAAATAAAATATAGGCCTTTCCTATATTAGCTCTTTCATTTATTTAAAAACTGCACAATTTTTTATTAATTTGACTATTCTATAAGACCATTTTGAATAAAAAACATCAGCATAATGCTTACCAATAATCAGGCCACTATATCCCTTATTTATTCTCATGTGTATATATTATTATATTTCTGTTTTGGTTTTTTTATTAAGCTTATTATCGGAATTGTGAAAATAGCCGAAATAACTGAAATACAGAAATATATATTCAAAGCGATATTCGTTCGCAACGCTTTTTCTGCAATTGCCAATCAATGTGCAATCTTCTCAGTTTCAGCAAATGTATCTTTGTGTGGCTATGGTATCTGTTTGTGTGTGTGTGTGTGTATTCAAGTGTTTGTGTGTGCCAAAGGCAATAATCATAAAAAACCGTCAAACGCTTTGTTTTTGCTCTCGAGAATTGAGGCAATAATGCTGAAAGGAAAAACGAAATTCGAGGAGAAAAACTCAGTCTTGGCTTGCGATTATTTTGCCATTACTTTCCATTATTTTACTTTATTTCAATGACTGTTTACATTAGGCACACACACACACGCACACTCAGGAAGAAGAGAGAGAATTGAGCAGATAAGTGCTGCATACTTTCGAGCGCGTGAGCTGCTTATTTTGGCCTTTCGCTTCCACTTCCTGCCTTTGTTTGCGCTGTATGTCTATGTGTGTTTGTGTGTGTGTGTGTGTGTTTGCAAGTGTGCGTATGAGTGTGTGAGTAAGCGTGTGTGTCTGTATTAGCCACTTTACTTTTGCTTATTGAACTGGGCAAAAGGCAAAAGGCAACAGCAATACTTGATACTTTGATTTTGCCATACACTTTTTCCCTCTCGAGATATTCTTTCGTCCTCCCAGTTACACAGATACAATTCTTGTCTCTATATTTGTTGATAGCCATTTAAAATAAGCTTTTCTTTGTTTGCCATTCAATTGCAGGCGGAGATTTGGAGCGTATTCATTGCCATCCTGCGCAAAAGTGTCCGCAATCTGCAGGCGTGCACCGATGTCGGCCTCATCGAGCATGTCCTCGTCCGCCTGCAGCGCTCCGAAACGGTTGTGGCAGGTAAGAAATCTCTTTAAAATATGCATCAATTATAAACTAAATCTACTTACAATAAGAAAACTAAGTTAAGTGTTCAATAATGGTTAAGAAATAGCTATGTGAGCTAAACAGGCAGCAAAAGACATCGGATTAATATTTATTTATTTATTTTCTCAGTTTTCAAATTACTTATTTTTTTACTTTAAGAAGTGTGACAATGAAAATTTTGTAAATGATATAAAGGTATAACAACACCAATCATTAACTTATTAACATGATATTCATTTAATAAATTATAAATGTTATTTCTAAAATTACTTATTTTAAAAAAGTAAGATGGATGGCGTAAGAACTCAGAGGTTGTGAATTTTATGATTTAAATATTTTTGTATGTACATTTCTTTATATATATTTAACTTTATAAAGACGTGAAGGGACTGTGAATTCATTATCGAAAACTTAGTTTAAAGTAATGGAAATTATTTATCAACTTTGAGTGCTTTCCTATTAAAACTCTTAATGATAAGAATTTTCCTTTTTCGGTCAGTTTCGGTGCTTAATCAAAATTTGGGTGGAGCATTATAGAGTTGTCAGTTTCGTGGAACAATGGAGTTTACACTTTTCACCATTGTTTGACTGGTATGAATAGATCCCGAAACTGGCTTTGGTTTGCTTTTGCTCTGGTCCGCTGAATTGCCTCTCGATTAATTTCACGCTTGTCAGCAGCACTGACACGCCCAGTTGCGCCCCCCGTTCCACCACCTCTGTGGAAAACCACTGAGCCGCCCAAAAACCGCCCAAAAACCACCCAACCACCCAATGGACCACACAGTGAAAAGCCAGAGAAAATGGGGGATTGGTATGGAACGGTGCAGCTCGGCAACAAATTTGCTCTTCATTAGCGACCCTCGCTGGCCCCGCCCACTGCAACACCCTCTGCCCCATCCCTATTTTCCACACCCCTCAACTAACACACATACCCACACACTCACACACTTGCTACTGCCTTAAGCATGTGCGTGCCTTTGACTTTGATTTTGATTTTATTAAGTCAATGACACATCTGCGGTCTGCACAAAATCCCAGCGCCCACCCATCCACCACCCACTCACTTCATCCCTCCATATATCTTTCTGCACCCACCTCCACCCACCATCCACCCCCTCCCCGTTATTCATTCCGCATTTAACGAACTGTAACTGCTGTCAATTTGCAGTCGCTGACTTTTGAGCTCTGTCTGTGTGTGTGTGTGTTTGTGTGTGCGTGTGTGTGTGTGTGCGTGTGTGTGTGAGTGCGTGTAAAGCCCGGAGAAAGGAGAAAGCAGAAAGGGGAGAAAGGACACAAACAAAGACATAATTTCATACATACACAGAAAAATACAATTTCAGAACAAAATTAATCACATTTTGAATTTAGTTTTCTTTAAAATACTTGCTTGGAAAATCGTTAAATAATGATCTTGCAAATACCATTTTAATATAATGTATTTCTTGTTAGTTTTTAGGTTTTGTTAGTTACCTGCCTTGATATATGAAGCAAAACAAATATGATATTATAGCAAAGATTTTAGTTTCACTATGATGTTCAAACGGTAAAAAAATTGTTAAATAATTTTTACTTACGTATATTTAAGAGACATGTTATCTTAAAAAAAATGTAATTATACTATTTGTTTATCAAGATGAACATTTTATTGGAAAACATATGCTTTGACAATAAATCATTAAACAAAAAATACAGATCGAATACTAAGGATAACATTTTAATAAAACAAACTCAAAATAGTAGCCCATTTTTCCACCTGTATAAGGGATGTCTGTCTACTGTCCCTTCCCCCACATTTCTTCGTTTCGCCATGTGTGTATGTGTCACCTGACAAATGCCAAAACGTGACACTTGCCAAGAAATTAGATAAGTTAAAAGTTCGTTGTCTCGGCCAAAGTTCAGCTTAGGGTAGCAACTTCTCGGATTCCATATAACATATATGTCTCTGCGTATGAGTGGTTATCTATGTGTATCTGTGTTTAGGATTAGCACACATCCATTGCCTACTTTTCTTGGCTCCAACTTAAAGTTTTTAAAAAGTCGACAGTGCAATTGCAAAAATTTGATAAGAGAAATTGTTGCGTTAAACGCTCTCACTTCTCTTCCCCTTCTCTTGCTCTTTATATATAGAAATATATATATATATATACTATATATATATATAGTCTTCTTACCAATGACTCTTCACCAGCTGAAGATGATAATGATGATGATGAGCTGGGGCAGTAAAAACTTTGGCATGCCAAGGAAAATGTAATTAAATGCTGATGAAGCTGTGTGGCGTTGGAAGAGAGGGAAAAACTGGAGGAAAAGCCAGGGAGCTGAATACCAACTGGGGACCAAGTGGGCTACATAGTCGTCTTGGGAATGCCGCAGGGAATGGGCAGTGGGAATTGGGCTCGGAGGTTGGAGATTGGGTAGCCAGTGGCCCAAAGGTACAACCTGCCGGAGTTACTTAATTTCTGAGTTCATGCAACCAAAAACGTGTTGAATAGTGTGTGTGCACGGCAAAAATAGAATGGTGCTTAACATCACCAACTTATTAAGCCAACATTTTCTATTTTATTATTTTTTTTTAATGTATTGAAAATGTATGCATTATAGTATTATTATGCATCCTTTTTTCTTGAGTTTGTTAAATGTCAACGTTACTTTTTCGATATTTAGCCGCCAAGAACATTTTGATCATAATATTTAATACAAATATAAAAATATTAAAATATATGTTCGGTACAGAGCATATGTGTGTGTGGAGGGGGTGTAGTGGGTGTTAAATAAGACCAATAGGTGTAAGTGAGAGAGGAGAACAGAAGGTGAACCAAACAGGCCAGCCATTAAAACGGCCCGAGCGTCCCATTTCAATTAGTGTGCATTACAAATGAAGTTTGGGAATAGCAGAGCAGCATTCGCTGGAAAACCAGACGACGTCGTCTTGCCCCCAAGGGACTGGGGGCGGGTGGCATTGGGAGGGGCGTGGCTAGTGGGCGGAGGAGTAGGCGAGACAGCTAAAGAGTAAGAGAAAGACAGAGAGAGAGAGAGAGAGAGAGAGATAGAGAGAGATAGAGAGAGAGATGGGGAGAGAGCAGGGTATTGCCAGCGGAGGCAATCAGTTTGAACTCCGGAATTAATAACTATTTGGCCAAGCTTTTGGCTAAACTTGATTGAAAATGCAATTCCCTCACAAGAGGGAGATGGCTGAAATCGAGCGAGAAGGGGCATAACTTCTCAAAACAGACTGAAACAGAAACAAAGACAGAGAAGGGGAGAGAGAGAGAGAGAAGGTGAGGGAGAGGGTGAAAAAGCGAGAAAGGGAGGGCATCATATTTGTGGCTCATTGAAACATAGATGAATGATGGAAATAGTTTTTGGCTCAAAAACTTCTACCCCGGGTGAGTTTTCCTTTTAATATTTCATAATTTATATTGCGATTCAATTGAAACTTTGCAATTATTTGAAATATGGCAAGAAAATATCCTTGCATCTGCTTGACTCTAGGTTTTTAATTAGCTCTTCTAGTCGATCTTTATTAAAAATAACTAAACAAACGTTGCAAGTTGTGATTTATATTTGAGAAAACATTATTCTCCTGGTTACGTTCTAATTATTTCTTAGTAAGGCCAACACCGCTTTCGTCTTTGTTAAATCTTATAACCACTTATAGTTTGTCAAATGCAAAACTCTTGTCCTTTAATCTTGTCATTTGGTATAAAATTGCATGTTCTTAATGATTCTGAAACTGTGACTGTTCTTTGAAGCGTTGTGGCAACTTTTTACGGGCTTTTGACTTTGCTTTAAATTGGAATTCAATTCGCGCAGTGGCAGTGGCAATGCTAGATCAAATGCAATATAGAGCTGATGGCCTTGCCACGACCACAACCACGCCCACCTACGACGCCCCTTGCCACGCCCCCTCCCCCCGTCTTTTAGCATTTAGCATTCGCTGCGAGAGAGCGTGTCCTTGCCACTTGGGTGAACGCGAGGACTTTGCATTCGGTTTCGCATTTGAATTTGCATTTGCATTTGCATTTGCAACTTGCCACCTGAGCTAAAACGGGAACTTGATTGTTGCCACAAACACGCACACACACGCACACACAGTTGAGTTTGGCAGGCTGTCAGCAGCATTTGCGCATATCCTTTAGGCCTTCAACCCATTTCCTGCCTTTCCGCAGTTAATGGCTCGGACATTTAGCGTGTATGACTCTGTATCTCTATTTTTATCGCCGAGTGTGTTTATGGGGGCATAAAAACAAGCTCTCATAAACTTTTTTTTCCCACATTCGACCACACTTGTTAGTTGTAATTTATTTAATGAAAAGTTGGTTTTTCTATTTTCTAATATATAGCTGGTATTATCATTTAATACCCTAAGGCTTAATAATTTCATATGTTTTTGTATGATTTATAAAATTGGAAATTATTTTAAAGCAGGCAATCTAATTTGCCTTTAAATTACATTTCTAAATATTTTATTGTGTTTATAAAGTGTCCAAATAAATCTGTAAATTAAAAGTTTTAAAGAAAACTTTTTGTATGTATCCAAAGGTGTCCAACAGTATGCGTTGAACAACTTAATTATCGGTCAAAATATATCCAACGTATTTTATATTTAAAATGTATATACACACATTTTTAATTAGTTTTAAACCCCCAGAGATTTAAATGTCGTGCTTCTATGAACTTCAAATTTGTAATTTATGAATGACAAATTAGTTGTACAAGTTTGTTGGACATTGAACGGCAAAAGTAATTTAAGTCTCTTAAGTTTCATAAGCTCCTGATTTGCATTAACATAAATCAACGCATTTGTTCACCATCTCCCTTCCAGATCTGCTCATCGAGATGCTGGGCGTGCTGGCCAGCTACAGCATAACGGTGAAGGAGCTGAAGCTGCTCTTCGGTACAATGAAAGCCACCAATGGCAAGTGGCCGCGCCACTCGGCCAAGTTGCTGAACGTCCTCCGGCAGATGCCACACCGCAATGGACCGGACGTGTTCTTCAGCTTTCCTGGCCGCAAGGGATCGGTGAGTGCTAATAGACGATGCTTAAACTAATGGCCCATCTGATTCGATGGCTGGGTGATGAGCGATAGATAATAGTGCATGGGATGAGCCAATTAAGAAAACATGTATCAAACTTATTTAAAAAGAGAAGGGGCTGCTACTATGCATCACTACGATTCTTAAATCACATTAAATGGTGTTTAAAAATATGCATTATAGTGCTAATAGACGATGCTTCAACTAATGGCCCATCTGATTCGATGGCTGGGTGATGAGCGATAGATAATAGTGAATAGGTTGAGCCCATTACAAAAACATTTATCAAACTTATTTAAAAAGAAATGGGAATGCTACTACGTTTTACTATGTTTTTTAAATCACTGATTTATATAGTAACCCCCCAATAAAGGGTTTTCTCAGTCGAGAGGAGTTTTTAATTTAAAAACCAACTAAATATATTGTCTTAGAGTTTTCGGAAACGTAATTAAATTCCCTTTTACCTGCTGGTCCATTTACTTTGGGGGTTCTCTCTAGTTGATATTTTTAATTTTGGCCATGCAATGCACGCAAGGATTGTGCTCCCTGTGAATGCAACTGGCAAAGGCCGGAACAAAGGCACATTCGATATAGGATAAGGTCCCGCGGGAAATCCACATTGGACCCCCATCGACATATCCGCAGGCTTTTGTTTTATTGCGTCGCACTTAAAACGAATTCGAAATGTGTATGTGTGTGTTTTCCCCCAGTCTAGCTTCTTGTTTTTTTTTTTTTTTTTGCTATGTATATTTTGTTATGAGTGTGTTTGCTATCCATGTGCCTTTGACCACTTCTATGTATTTTTTTTTGTGTTTTTGGGAGGGGCACGACACTCTATCGATGTGTCCATCGCCCCATAAACATATAAAAAATGCCATAAAGTGAATTGGAAGTCAAATGCTAGCATCGCACGGAGAACGCTTTGTGCAATTGTCGCCAAATGTCTAATAAATAGATAGGTTGCTGCCCTGCCCCCAGCCAAAACATCCAATTTATCCACCTATCTGTCCAATCCACATCATATCCACACCGTTCAGACCCCTCTAATTTTGTCATTTTCTTTTTTTTTTTTTTTTGATAGGGTCTTTTCACGCAATTGGTTTATTTATTTTTTTTTAATTTTCCGTTTAGCCAGCCTTTTTGGAGGGGGAAACCAACCAATCCACTTAACCGCCGATCAGCGATCCACATGCACGCCTAATGCCATTGATGGTGCTGATTGCAACAGAACGACGGGACTCGATTCGAATAATGACATTTGCTGGAAAAGCCAAAACCCAAAATCCAAAATCCAAAATCACCCGGGCGCCATTTGAGTTTTTCGCTTTTCCTCACTTCTGTCACGGGAAATGGGGGAAAAATTGGGTAAATGTGGCAGAGTGGCAGCGTGTGTGTATGTGTGTGTGCGGTGCAAAGTTGCTTGCAACCGCAGCAAAACTCCAACAGTGTCAGCCTTTGTCACGTTCGCCCGGCCTTAACCCATTAAACATTTAACCCAGTCGGTCGGTCTCTTCCCTGGCCCCAAAAAGTGGTCACCATGTCGCCCATCGACCACTCGAAAAGGCGAAACCACTAGATAAGTGCAAAGTAAATGAAATTTGATCTTTGTAAGAGGGTTAAATAGTTCCTCAGAGTTCACGAGCAAACAAGTGATTTAATAAACTGAGAGCAGGATAAAAAACTCAGCAGTTAAATAAATAAAATAAATCGCACGGAATCAATGACTTCAAGAGGAGATTCAAACCACTTAACTCAAATAATGATTGATGAGAAAACATATATCTATAAATAAATATTTATATGGGAAATCAAATTTAATCATTGAAAGTCAAATAATAATTTCAAGGCATTTAATTTATTTAAATCAAAAGAAATAATTGCCAAAGCAAACACTTAAATAACACAAATATAAAAAAAGGAGATAAATAAATCAAATTAAATATGCTACTGTAAATGTGTAAACTAAAGTAAATCATAATCAAATCAAATAATTACATGCAAAAATAAGAAACTTATCTAAATTAGCTGTAGGACTGACCAAAATCAATCAATAATTGCTTGGATTTACATTTTAGGTGATGGCAATCAACTGAGTCAATTATTTTAAAATGTCATTGGTCTAATATATAATAGCTGAGATTGTCTCAAAGGGAAAGCAATGAGATACTCGGATATCAAATGCATAAATATTTGTTAACTGATTGGAGATGAATTACGTCTTGATGCCTCAAGTGGATAATGTCAAATGCCATACCCACAGAAATAGTATAATGGTATTTCTAAACGAATATTTAAACAGGAAGTCAAGCAGGCAGGAGGCAGGCAAAGTGAAGTGAATTAAATTTATGAACTGCCAGCAAAATTTCACCTGACTATCCAATCAGCCAAGTTAAAAGTTTATACTCCTTTGTAGCTGCTCTCATCTCGAGTTTATCCTTCTCGGCAAGCATCATCGTCGACCAGACCACCAGTATAGCCACAGAATTGATGATAAATCAAATGTGCTCATTTCCTTTTAATTTTAGTTCACTTCTGTTTTGTGGCTTCTTCTGTTGAATTATCCAGCTGTCTTTGCATTTGCATTTGCATTTGTGGAATGGCTTTGAGGCTGCCACAGGAAATACATTCGTGTGTATGTTTGTGTGGAATGGAATGTGCCACAACTTGCCTAGGCAGTCAAAAGTAGTTCCCTCTGTGATTTGTACAGCTTCTTTTGGGGGTGTGGGGGTGGGTTTCAGGAATTTCATGTCTATTTGTTGGGGTCCTATGGTGTTTGTTAAAGGCTCTCTCTAGCTATCTCTCTCTATCTATCTCTCTATCTATCTCGTCTCCATGTGCCAAGTCAATTATGGGGCTTATTAATGCTAATTACTCAAGGTATCGAAATGGGAAACGGCTTATAATTCAATTGAATTTTGCAATGATTGGTAATCGGTTTTCGGTTTCATTGTCCCCTTTTAGGCCATGGTCCTGCCGCCTTTGGCCAAGTGGCCGTACGAGAACGGATTTACTTTCACCACCTGGTTCCGTCTGGATCCCATCAACTCGGTGAATATTGAGCGTGAGAAGCCCTACCTTTACTGGTGAGTGTTGCAAATGCAATTAAACATAAAACGTTGTGTACTAAGAATGCCTCAATTTGTGGGATATATATAAATTCAAACTTCTCATTATTTTGTACAGCTTCAAGACATCGAAGGGCGTGGGCTATACGGCGCACTTTGTGGGCAACTGCCTTGTTCTCACCTCGATGAAGGTCAAGGGCAAGGGCTTTCAGCATTGTGTCAAATATGAATTCCAGCCACGAAAGGTAAGATAATCCACCCACAAGAGCACTCTTCACCATCCGATTTTTCGGCCTAACTTTGGTTTTTTTTTTTGTTTGTGTTTTTGTATCTCTGTTTCAGTGGTATATGATTGCCATAGTGTATATATACAATCGTTGGACGAAAAGCGAAATCAAGTGCCTCGTTAATGGACAGCTGGCCTCTTCAACCGAGATGGCCTGGTTTGTTTCCACAAACGATGTGAGTATCGGGCATCTCAGAAGCTAAATTCTATAAATATTTATTAAACGTGTCGAGTTGTATTGTATTTTGTGATAAGATGGCATCAATTTATGCTTGCGTTATGTTGCCATGTTTTATTATTATTTAGTTTATTTTCTTTATTGCTGTAACATGCTTTTGAAATGTAATATGTTATATCACTTGAACTTAAGTGATATTATATCAGATATTTGCTTAATTTTGTGACTCTCATTATTTCAATTATAAATATTTTGTGCAATTACTTATTCATTAATTATTAAGCATTTTGTGGTAAATTATTGCTTTTGGTAAAGTTATGTATTCTCAATATTACAAAGTTTGTAATTTTCTACTTAAACATTTTGTTATCGAAAATATCGATACCTATCAACTTTTGAAAGTTAAAAGTTTCTTTACCTTACAAATCTTTGTGAAATATAAGTTATTTTTGTAAAATAATAAGTTAAAGAAGCTGCGTAACTGCAATGAAGACAAAACCTGTTTTCCTTCTTTTGAGATTATCGATTATTAAATTTCGATTACTGTTTGAACCTTTGAACCAGAATATTTGATGTCTTATTGAACGTATTTAGGTTTTGTATTTAAGAAGTCTTCCCATTTAACCAATTCTTGCATCCTTTTCTAGCCCTTTGACAAGTGCTACATAGGAGCCACCCCCGAATTGGATGAGGAGCGCGTGTTCTGTGGCCAAATGTCGGCGATCTACCTTTTCAGCGAGGCGCTGACCACGCAGCAGATCTGCGCGATGCATCGCCTGGGACCCGGTTACAAGGTAAGTGGGGTTAGGTGGTGGGGTATGTGGGTTGTGGGTTGTTGGTTGTTGGTGGCTATAACCCCTGGACTCAGCCACCATCCATTGCCAGCCCGGCGATGGTCAAGCGCACGCACCACTGCACCACTACTTTGCACTGCCGAAATGCCGCAGCAAAAATGTCCTCGTCTGTACAGAAATAACGTCGTTTGTTCATATATGCCGTTTCTCTTTTCTTTTTTTGCTCTTTTTTCTCTCTCTCTTTTCGTGTTTTTTTCAAAACTTCTTGTCCGCTGCACTGCTAAAAAAATAATATACTACAAAACTTGCACAATACAAATAAACAAACACTTAACACTGTGTGAAAAACAGTCGCAGTTTCGATTCGACAACGAGTGCTATCTGAATCTGCCGGACAATCACAAGCGGGTGAGTCACTTTCAACTTCTGCCAGCGACCTTGGGGGCGTCATCACTACCGGGCGTGGGCGGTGGCGTTGGCGGTGGCAGTGGGAGTGGCACCGGGGGCGGCGATGCAGCAGCCGCAGCGGCAGCTGTTGCCGCCGGTCAGCAACAGCAATTGCAGTTGCAATTCCAAACGCTGGCCGCTGAACAAGAGGCGCGTGCCATCGATTGGACGGATGAGAAGCTTGATTTGAATGCGGCCTTTGTGAAAATACGAGCGGTTTTAACCGCCCGCAATGCAGTGACCTTGGCAGGCAGTAGCAATAGCAGTAGCTCTACTGCAGTAGCCACCGCAGCAACAACAGCAGCCGGAGGAACATCTCCCGCAGCAACATCATCGGCGTTGCCAGCAGCAGCGGCGACACAAAACGACAATGATGCCGTCGCACTACAGCAGCAACATGCAACAACAGCGTCGTCTGGCAATGCGGACGATCCGCTCGGCCATTTGCCCACTGGAAATGCTTCTTCTTTTGGTATTTACACTACTTTTCATTTGCCATTTTTTATTTCATAATTATAATTTGTATTTAACTTTTCATTTGGGGACCCACTCAGAGCAACTGCGTCGAATGTCCAGTGTGAGCAGCTTGAACTCAATGGTCGGAACCGCCGACACTGAGGAGGTCAACCAGCTGAAAGCTGTAAGCAAACTTTGTTTTTATTATATATTATTTTATTACTTTTAATAATATCGTATTGTATGTTTTTATATTCGTTTTATTTTCGTGGTAAAATCTTGAAAACCGCAAAAAAAAACAAGAAAATAAATCAATTTTTCATACACTTCTGGTGTTAATTTGGTTTTTGATAGTTTTTACATCAATATTCTGCTTTCATAAGTTTTGTAAAAATATTTATTTCACAACTATTTTTTGTATAGCTTTAAGGCTTAAGGTGAAGCTTATTATATTAATGAAAATAAGTTGAAGGGGTGTTTATTTAATTTGTTGTTAAAAAATGTTGCAAAAAAATTTTTATTTAAATGTTATCCAGTCTTTTTAGACATGTTTAAAATCAAATTACCGTAATACACTTTTCCAAACAGTTTATCGATTAAAAACTTTACTGCTAGCAATTAAAAGTTATAAAGCTAAAAATGTATTTTAATACAGTTTGTAGATCTTTATAGAAACACAAATTTCTCCTTGAAACAGAAGCGCAAAAGTTAATTAAATTTCGACGAGCAATTAAAAAGAATTAAATCGATAGCCTTAGTTTGCTTTTCAGTACAATTTTTGTGTTTAAAATATGAAGGTGGCTCTTAGCAGGGAGAAGTAAATGTAGCTCAAAAACACCGCCCCACAAAAAAAAAATAAAAAAACCAAAAAACCCAGACAAAAGCGAATATTTAAGGCCAAGAATAACACCACCACCCACCGGAGATTGTTGGAAATCTTTGGGCGCGCATGTTCCATATTCCGCTAGGACATTTTCTATGCTTGTGTGCTCCACATTTTAGGACCCGAAACAGCTATTATGTAGACAGCCACCCACTTTTCACTTGCCACCCACCCACTCTTTACCACCCCAAAACCCACCTGTTCCGGGTATTATGCCATTTTGTAGTGGAAAAACACGGATGTTTTGGAGGGCGGAGGGTGGCGAAAAAGTGAGTGCTTTAGTTATTTTGAATGTTGTTTTTATGTGCCAAATCGGGAGTTGAGTTAATGGGATGGGAAAACACGGCCCCACACACACACACACACACGTGAGCACGCAATCGCATTTACACACAAACATTGCGCTTTTAAGGGAAAATGGTAGGAAAATAGGTGGGCAAAAGTTATGATCCCTAAAAGAAAACTGTGTCAAAGAAATAAATGTAAAATGTTAAAAGAAACGCCCACTCAACTAGCAAAAGCAGTTTTAGATTTTAAAGACATTCATTTTTGGACAATGTTGGCAATGTTTAAAATTTTAACATATTTATTTTGTGTCATTAGCAATACTTTTTTGTTAAGCTCTAAACAACGTTTAAATTAAAATTTCTGAAAGAAAAGTATATTTATAATATATATATATCCTTTACAACTAAGTTCTAATTTTTTTTTTAACATTTTATTTTAATTTACTTCTTTAAAACGATCATTGTTTATTTTAGGCAATTTAACAATTTTGCTTATCTTCTTTTCTACAAGATTGCTTGCTTAATTTCTTCATTGTTAATTCTTCCTAAAAATATCGCAAAGAAGTGTTTTAGGTAGCAAAATAAGCAGCCAACAACAAATATTTAATAATAATACTACCAAAACACAAGCACCAGCTTACATATATGGCACACACACACACATAAACACACACCACACACTGCCAAAGTGCACCATAAGGAGAAGAAAACTCGAAGCTCGAGAAAATTCAGCCCCCGAACAAGAAGCAGAAATGCAACGATACGTGTTGTAAATATTTTGTATATATATATATTCTTGAACAGCATTTGAATAGTTTTATATAAAGGACACACACACACACACGGATTCGTTATTGAGTTTGTGAACGTGTGGGTTAGATGTTTACGACCTAGCCGAGTTTATTATAGATTTACACAGAATTTATCAGAGCACGAAAGATTTCATGCTAGAGCTGCCTATATATTTCTGATCATCATTAAAAAAGTCTTATTCCTTGTTGAGGCTATTAAGTTGTGGTCGATTGCTGTTTATTAAGGTTTGCAAAGCATCAACAAAACCTACATAAACTCCATTACTGTAATTTGTACGTAATTTGCAAACGTTCTATTTTTTCTTTTATTATATTTTTAATTACAACTTTTGAATTTTGTCGTAATATTTGAAGACTTTATAACTCTGCTGGGTATTTAAAGTTCCGGATTATTGAACTTGGCTTTTCCTTGGTCATTTGTAAACGTGTCATTCCTGTCTGTGTGTGTGTGTGTGTGTGTGTGTTTGTTGCTGTGTGTTTTTGTTTTCTTTTTGTTGATTGTTGTGTGCCAGCTTAAAGCCAAAGCCAAAGCCAAAAGCAAAGCTAAAGACAAAGCCTAAGTAAATTGCAATGACCTGAAAGAGGACAAATCGTGGGGTCCATGGAGTCCATGGACTCCTGCCTTAGTGCCCAGCTCGATGCCACTCGATGACTCGCCGAAAGCCCGTCCTAATTCCGGCCATATATACCTCCTCCTATTCCCCCGATATTCCTCAGATATATCCCCCAATTCCCTGCTATGACTACTAACTACCAACTGACTCAACCCCGTCTTGCTTTCGTTTTTGCTATTGCCCACAGGTGCTGTACGATGGCAAACTATCGAATGCCATCGTGTTCATGTACAATCCAGTGGCCACCGATGGTCAGTTGTGTCTGCAGTCGTCGCCCAAGGGAAATGTTTCATATTTCGTGCACACACCGCATGCGCTGATGCTGCAGGTGAGTAAATGACAGGTGGAAAAAGGTGGAAAATGGTGGAAAATGGGGGAAAGGTCGGGGATGGGCGTTTCCCGCCACCCAGGGAGCATAAATTTCATGCAGAAATTTTACGACACCGGCGCATGCCTTGGCATTTCTTATTAGCCAAAAGGTCCGAGCTCGGAGTTTCGAGTTCCCCCGACAACGGAAAGCACGGCATAGCGACTCCTGCAAAATTATTCAATAAATTTTGTAATAATTTCTTGGGCAAACAACACACAAATCATAAGATACAGAAGCAGGAGTATGAAGCATGGAGCTTGTAGCTTGAAGCTTGAAGCTAGGAGCATGGAGCACGGAGCACGGCAAAACGTGTCCCGTGCAAAATACGGGGCTGATGACAGCTTAGGCGATTAATAGACCTCTGATTAAATTGAAATTTGCTTTTGCAGGATGTAAAGGCCGTGGTCACGCACTCGATACACTGCACCCTTAACTCGATTGGCGGCATCCAGGTGCTATTCCCGCTCTTCTCCCAGCTAGACATGGCCCACGAGGGCCTGGGTGACATCAAGCGGGATCCCACGCTGTGGTAAGCGAAAATAGGGGTTGGGTTGGAAATTACTAAAATATGGAGGATAGTACCCAAGAAATGTATTATCAATATTGAATCAACTCATATCGTTTAAGTACAGTCAATTCATTTTCAAGCATTTACAATTCAAATTCAATTAAAACAACTACCGCTATGATGAAAAAATTATAATCTTTCACTTGAAAGACTATTTAGGTAAATGTTTTAATCTCTTCTAGTTTCCATTCAAAACAATAATATTTTTTATACATATTCACAAACAATTTGTAGGCTTTATAAACATGGAAATAATTTGAAATTATCAAAGATATCCAAGCTATCTCTTTTCAATATTGATGTTTGAATACAGTCAATTTATTTTAATTAAGCAATTATAATTCAAATTTGAATAAAGAAAAATAATGAACTTCGAGGAAACATATAATTTTTCACTTCAAAGACTGTTTAAGTAATTATTTTACTCGTTTGTAGATTTAATTTACATTTTATAATCGATTTTGAATGCCTTGATTGAGAACCAACCGCATGTATTATGATATCCACAGCTCTAAGTTGCTGGGCTTTATCTGTGAACTGGTGGAAACATCGCAGACGGTGCAGCAGCACATGATCCAGAACCGTGGCTTCCTGGTCATCTCGTTCATGCTGCAGCGCTCCTCCCGCGAACACCTGACCCTCGAGGTCCTTGGATCCTTCCTGAACCTCACCAAATATCTGGTCACCTGCCTGTCGGCCAATAGCGATCTGCTACTCAAGCAGGTAAGTCGGTTGTGAATGCTCACATGCCTGCCAAAATTAGTCTATCCATTAAATATGCATACTGTATACGAGTATATAAGAAGGGACGATCGAATCGAAATCGAAAACCACGCTGCGTATGCGCAATGTCAATGGCATGCCATGTTTTCTTTGTGATGAATGTAAAATGTCTATGTACTATACCATATATATATATATATATTACGATAACTAAGTTTGATCTAAGTACCAGTTTTGGGGGGTGGTTAAGCATGCAAAAAGCCCGCCCCTCAGCTAAGAATCTCCTTGCGAATTTGATTTACAACTTTGTTACGCGTTCTTGTTGTTCGTTCACACCCGACAAAAAAAAAAAAACCAAAACAAAAACAAAAATGAAAATGAAACCCAGCCCATCGATTGTTTTCTCGGGTGGCATGTTAACCCATCCCTCCGAAAAAAAGAAGGAAATCCCAAAAATGATATGCGAACTCGTCTCGTTTGTTGCTTTCTCTGTCTCTATCTCTCTCTCTCTCTCTCTCTCTCTCTACACACACACCCATAAATATATATACATTTAACTCTATCTATCGCACTCACTGTGTTTTGCCTTTTGTTGATGATGATTTGATGATGACGATGATGATTATGACGATAATGGTGCACAGTTGAACACAGGCCTGCGTAATCCTTTCAAAAAAGTAAACACAACCGTAAACAATTGCTCACATTTCTCGTTATAAGTAACTGCACTTGAGAATCTCTTAAGCAAATATACTCCAACTTGTACTACTCGCATATACACACAAGCATCCAACGTCAACTCACCCAAACGATATATATATATATATACAATCATATATATCATATATGTATATCTGTGGCATATTTATGTTTGTTTTCTGCCATTTGGCAGCCTGTGCGACCTGGAGGAATTGTACCCTCCACAAAATCCCATTGGTTGCCCATTGAGTTCTATAATCCGCTTAGTTCAAAGGTAGAGCAGAGTCTTTGCTCTATTATTTAAGCTCAGCTGAATATGGAAACCAAACGATTGGTTCTTGAGTTTATTTCCTTAACCCTAAAAAGAGTGTTGCAATTTAATTCAACTATTTTTTGGTAGACATTTTGTTTTTGTTCATTTTCTAATAGTTATTGATTATAATATTGATTATATTATTATTATTATATTATTGATTATAATAATCAATAAGTATAATAATATTTTTTTCATACAATTTTTTTTGAAAAACTCTCATTTCCTTTTTCTTATTCTTGAATTCAGTATTATTTATTCTTTTTAATTCCATTAAATTCGTTTATTATTGTTTTTTTTTTAACCATCATTTGTTTAGTTTTTTGAATCCATATACGAATTTTCCCTTGCCACACTGTTGCATGCATTTCTCGCGCACCTTGCATGTGCTGTGCTTGAAGGAATCTTATTGATTGGCCCATAGCAAATTGTTCCATTCTTGCGTTCCGATTGCGATCAGTTGCCGCCATTTGATCCATATGCGTTTCATTCCGTTTCGTTTCGCTTGCACTTAGCACCTGCCTGGGCACTGCTTCAATTCGCTTGATCAGCCCAAAAACATAAATGAAATTAATCAAAATTAATACTTTCCTTAGCCAGAAATCAGCAAGACAAATGAAATGCCAAAAAGAAGATATATTAACTACAACTTAACTGTCTTCTTCTTCTTTTGTCTGCTCTCTATTTCACTCTCGCTCTCTATTTCTCTCTTCAATGCCCTCTTTCTCTTTCTATCTGTGTTTCCTGCCACGCCCACCGTTCCCACACGTTCCACACTCATAATCGCTTTCCATTTCAATCGTTCTCCGCCTTTTGCTATTGTGATCGTTTACCGATAACTCAAATCAAATGCGCCTCATAAACAACCAAAAAATGCACACACATCCATACAATTAAATACAACAACAAAACGACAACAACCGAACTATAAACAACATAAAAATCAACATGAACAACAACAGTTCTACCAGGTGAAGCTCAATTCTCGAATTCTCTGTACTTTCTGTACTTGCGTATAATCCAAATACTATATCCATGTGTAACATATATGTGTTCCCGTTTCCGTTCCACTGGTTGTATTGTTTCCTTTTGTTTCATTTTGTGTCTGTGTTTAGCGTAATTTGTTAAACATCATCTGTACATAAAAGTAAAGTCCAATCCCATCATCATCCTCGCCCATTCATCGATTTGTGTATATATATATATATACATATATATATTTTTTAGCCACCAAACTCATTCCGCTCTTCATTCCATTTTGTTCCGTTTCGCTTTGTTGAACCGCAGAACCGCAGAACCGCAACGATAAACCGCATAATCTTATTAACTCTGGGGAAACCTTGAGCTCAACCTCAAACCCCCTAAAAACCCCGAACGTCAAGCCCAGATTTTACTTTGGCTTTTCCTGTGCTCCTACCACAGTCCTTCCCACATACTCCGTTCCTCACTCAATTTGTTCAATGTGTCATTTGGATAATTGAAGCGAAAGTTGTGTTCACAGCACCGCATCGTACCTTCCTAATTGCTCGCCTCGCATATCTTCAATCCCCCCCTCTATATATACATATACCATTCCACAATCCGAATCTCCCTTGTCCTTCGCAAAATGAATAAATTTCTGGTGAAATAAAAAAAAACGAAGAGCTGAAAAGCTGCAAATATTTTTCGTGGCACCTTTGGGGTGCTTGCTGCGTTTTTATTTTACATTCGGTGCACAGCTTTTTAATTGGGAAACTTCTCCGGTAGTCGAGTAGGTTTGAGTTCTTACAAGAGGGGTTGAATTTTCCAGGGACTTTGAGGGGTGTGAAAACCATGTTGCATTGTTGCCAGAGAGCCATGGCAACCACATTGGCGAACACTGGTTTTGACAATCCAACAAGTTGAGGCGATGGCTTAACAAGTTTTGTTTGGGCCCGGCCAAAAGCAGATTAATGAAGTTGCCCTTTGGAGCACTTTAATGCCATTAAGCTATATATTTTACTGGCCTAGAGTTAAAGCAACTGCAAGATTCAATTAGTGGGCTCTAGGATTTAAGCAGTGGAGCAATAGTTTTGCGAAGCAGGCTGCTCTTGGGTAAACTTAATTTGATTATTTTATTAGGGAATTTCAAACAATTTCTAGATTCTAGAGATGCAGGTATGCGGCTACCTCAAGCGAGGAAAAAACTTTGTATATCATAAAAAAGCAAAAGAATATCTAAAAATATTTTCGGTTAAACCATGAGGTCAATCTTAATGATAATACCAATCAATTTTGGTTACTTTATATATCATTAATAAAGTCATTAAGTCATTTTGCCATCATATTTTATATACGTAAAACAACTGTGTTATTTTCTTAAACTATTTAGCCCTAAATTATTCTTAGTCTTAACCTTATCTTAATTAGCCTAGCTTAGCCTAGTTTTAGTTTAATTTAGTCTAGTTAAGTGTTACCCCCTAACTTTTGAAGCTAACCTCATGAATACCCGAATGCAATTGTTTGTTTCGTTTCATTTCGTTCCGTTCCATTCCGATGGAATTTGATTTTATGTTCGTTGATTGCCGTTATGCTGTTTGCTGCATGTGTTACCTGTTTTACCCAAAAATATGTACTTCTATGTACTACTACTACTACTACCCAAATAAAAATATCAACATCAACTACAACAACTCTGACAACAATAAAATAATAAAAACCGAAACTCATGTTTAACCGTATGTATACCGAGATCAATCTCATTATTTTAAAACCTGCACTCTCTGCCCCTTTTTGAAATATCCACACGCTTCAACCTTTTCGCCTATCCCTAAATTTATATTCTACCTATCTATAATCTGTCTATATCTACACACAAACACAATCTTCCTTTCCGAGCTACCCCCCACACACATTTTGTCCATGAGACAAAGTCACCCATCCGAAATGTGAGAGGACAGCATAAGTTACTTGACTAATTCGCCGCAGTTGTTCTGTTTCTCGTTTCTCACGTGGCAGCTGCTGGACCACGTCCTCTTCAACCCAGCCCTGTGGATATATACGCCCGCGAATGTCCAGGCGCGGCTCTACTCCTACTTGGCCACCGAGTTCCTCTCGGACACACAGATCTACAGCAATGTGAGGAGGGTCAGCACGGTCCTGCAGACGGTGCACACCCTCAAGTACTACTACTGGGTGGTCAATCCAAGGGCCAAGAGCGGCATCATTCCCAAGGGACTGGGTGAGTAGCTCTAGCAAAATGGAGCCTTGAAAACAAGAGCTCTTTGGTTACTACTTAAACTGTGGTTTAAAGGCTTTTAACAAATATTCACATGTTTTAAAATTAAATTTTTGCCAGACTGTTATTTCAAAAACACAACACAAATCATTAAAACTTCTAAACTTTTAAAGGCGCCAAAGTTACTTTCGTGATTTATTTTAGAAAGCTTGATTTGTGTCTTCGAAACCTCTAAAAGTTTTTGGTTACCTAAAACAATGCAGTTCAAGGCCTCTCTTTTTCCGATTTGCCAACAGATGGACCTCGCCCGGCCCAAAAGGACATCCTGGCCATCCGAGCCTACATCCTGCTGTTCCTTAAGCAGCTCATCATGATCGGAAATGGCGTGAAGGAGGATGAACTGCAGAGCATACTCAACTATCTGACCACCATGCACGAGGTGGGTGATTCGTGCTAGTGTCTCACTGCTCGGCCCAATAGAAATCTATAAGGAAATGAATATAAATCATTTTTTCTTGTTTATTGTTTATTGTTGGACATTCAGGACGAGAATCTGCACGACGTGCTGCAGATGCTCATCTCGCTGATGTCGGAGCATCCCAGCTCCATGGTACCTGCCTTTGATGTGAAGCACGGCGTGCGCAGCATCTTCAAGTTGCTGGCGGCCGAAAGTCAGTTGATCCGTCTGCAGGCCCTCAAATTGCTGGGCTTCTTCCTTTCGCGCAGCACCCACAAGTGAGTACAGTGAGGATAGGGAGATGTTAAACCTTCGTTTATTTCATTATTTCGCCAAGGAGTTCTCTAACCCAAATTCTCCTTACTGTCTCTTCATTTGTTGTCCCTCATCTAGACGCAAATACGATGTGATGTCACCTCACAATCTGTACACACTGCTGGCGGAGCGGTTACTCCTCTACGAGGAGTCACTCTCCCTGCCCACATACAATGTTCTCTACGAGATCATGACGGAGCACATTTCGCAGCAGATCCTGTACACAAGGCACCCGGAACCGGAGAGTCACTACCGCCTGGAGAATCCAAGTAAGTCAAGCCTTCCAGGATTTTCAGCCACATGTGTCTAACCTACATAGACACTCAAGACTTTTTAGATCAGTCTTATCTTATATACTGAACAGAAATTAAAATTGAAAGTTCTTAGCATTTTATATATAATTCCAAGAAAAATTGTTGCATTTATATGCGAAGGGAGAAGAAATTTTCATGTTTGTTCCATTCAAACGATTTTGTTTACTTAATCAAAAAATCTAAGATATACTTTTTGTTGCCGAGATATTTTTTTTTTTAATTTTAGTTTTATAAAATTATTTTGTGGTTTTAACAACCCAACTTTTTGCCCGTCCAGTGATCCTCAAGGTGGTGGCCACCCTGATCCGGCAGTCCAAGCAGACGGAGTCCCTGATCGACGTGAAGAAGCTGTTCCTGCAGGACATGACGCTGCTGTGCAACAGCAATCGGGAGAATCGGCGCACCGTGCTCCAGATGTCCGTGTGGCAGGAGTGGCTGATTGCGATGGCCTACATCCATCCGAAGAGCAGCGAGGAGCAGAAGATTAGCGACATGGTGTACTCGCTGTTCCGAATGCTGCTGCATCATGCCATCAAGCATGAGTATGGCGGCTGGAGGGTTTGGGTAGACACCCTCGCCATCGTCCACTCGAAGGTGTCGTACGAGGAGTTCAAGCTGCAATTCGCCCAAATGTACGAACACTACGAACGCCAGCGAACGGATAACATCACCGATCCTGCCCTGCGTCAGGCCAGACCCATAAGTACGATCAGTGGTTGGGAGCGGGAGGAGCTGCATCAGCAGCAGAACGGTGGAGCAGCTGCTGCAGTGGCCCCAAATCAAGCAGCAGCAGCAACGGTAGCAGTCAAGGCTGCCGTATCCATTGCCTCCCTGGAGGATGTGCCTCCGGTGGTCGAAGAGGAAGTGGAGGAGCTGGAACTGGAGGAGGTGGACATCCAAGAGGGTCCAATAATCGAGCCCGAAGCCGCCGAACCCAACAAATCCGTGATAGCCAACATTTCTGATGTGTACAACGAGCAGATCAAAACCGATGCCACCTGCAATGGCAATGGCAATGGCAATGCCAATCTGGAGGAGGTCAAAGAGGAAAATCCGGCGGCCGGGGAGCGAGTTGAAGAAGTGGCGGAGAAGCCAGCGGACGCATCTCCGCTGGGAGCACTTCGGGAAACCCTTCAGCTGGGCGATGACATGGATGTGGAAGAGCTCGAACTGGCCACTGCCAAGGATGCCCTCAATGCGGAGCAGCATGTGGCTCGAGTTCTTCAGGCGTCCGAAGCGGCGCTCAACGATTGCAAAATGGCCGTCGATGATGTCCTTCAGGAAGCATCGTCCGTTCTCAAGGACGAGGAGATCGAATTGGCCGTCAACGAAGTGGTCCAGGGTGTCCTGAACAACGAGAAGAAATCGCAAGCGGACAAGGATAAGGATAAGGATAACAAGGAACATCAGCCAGACGGGCAGGATGTGAATGTTAGCCTGCTGAACAGCAAGAATTTGCTCAACAATAATAATATTAACAATAATAATAGTCCGAGTCCCACGCCCACAACGGCAACGCCGGAAACGCAAGCGGAAACGGAAACGGAAAAGGAAAAGGAGGTCAATGCCAATGAGATCGTGGCGCCCAAGGAGCAGAACACAAAAACAAAAACAGATACAGATACAGAAACCGAAACGGAAACGAAAACAAAAACGGCCGCTGCGGAAGTGGAAACGCCGGAAGCGGTCAAGCCATGCCCATTAGTCCCCAGCCCCGTAGTAACAACCAATCAAAAGACTGAAGACGCAGCCAACAAGCTGAACAACAACGAGAAGCTGGCCGAGATCAGCGCGAGTCCCGAGCCCATCGTTGTGGTGGAAACGCCAGAAGCCGATCTTCTTCAGCTCTCGGACACCGAATTCAAGCCGGAAGAAGCGGTGACGGTGATGGAAACGGAACCGGAAACGGTAACAAAAACGGAAACAAAAACGGAAGCAGAGGATCCGGTGGCGTTGGCCGTAAGGGATATTGTCGAGCAACTCATCGACAAGGTGATCGATGCCACGGAAGCGGAAACGGCCAGCGAAACCAAAACGGAGACCAATAACAATGAGCTACCCAAAGGTGACAAGTCGACATCACAGTCCGAAGAAGTGGAAACCGCAGAGAGTTTGGCTGTTGCCGCCGCCGAAGAAATTGTCCAGGAAGTGGTGGAAGCAGCACTCGTTTTGGCTCAAGAGGAGAGTACTCCAGAAAAGCAAGCTAAATCCCACGAACAGAAGAAGGAAATGGCAAAGGAAGAGAATTTGCCAGATGTTAGTGAGGATCGGGAAGTCAAAGTGTCCGAAGCACCCAAGTCCCAAGATCTTCACGAATCAAAATCCCAGAATCTTGGGGAACCTAAAACCAAGGAACCTGAAGTTTCCAACGCACTGGAAATCCCCCAAGAACTAGTCCAGAAACAAGAGGATCATGTGGCGACCATTGTCAATCAAGTTCTCGACACTCTGGTGGATGAAACAGTCAAGGCCGTGGCCGCCGAACAAACCACCCAGACATCACCCGCTCCCGAGCAGCAATCGCCACGGATCCTGGCCAAGGAGACATCTGTGACACCGGTGCGTGTGAAGCCCACGGAAGTGGACTCCACCACCCAGACCACGCCGAAAAACGAGGCGGGCTCCAATCCCATGGTTGAGGAGGTGGTGCAGCAGGTTATTCAAGAGGACGAAGTGCAAATCCAAACATCAGGCGACCAGATTGCCATTGATGATGAGGAGTACTCCAGTCAGCAGGCTGCTGCGGGAGCCGACAATGCCAGCCAAATGGAGGCCAGTCATTATGGTCCCGGCAATCCGGAAGCCAAGAAACAGCAACAACAACAACAACAGCAACAACATCGCTCCAAATCGGGATCAACGCGACCCATGTTTAGTCCAGGACCCACGCGTCCACCGTTCCGTATACCGGAATTCAAGTGGTCCTACATCCATCAGCGACTCCTTAGCGATGTGCTTTTCTCACTAGAAACGGACATTCAGGTGTGGCGCAGTCATTCCACCAAGAGCGTCCTCGACTTTGTCAATTCCAGCGAGAATGCCATCTTTGTGGTGAACACAGTGCATCTGATTTCGCAGCTGGCCGATAACCTGATCATCGCCTGTGGAGGATTACTGCCTCTATTGGCCAGCGCCACGTCGCCCAATGTGAGTACTCAACTCTTTAATACTATTAGGGGACATTCAACATCATTTTATTTGATAAGCATTTGAAGCAAGTGGCCGATCAAGAGCTATTAATTTATAAAATAAGATGTTAAACCCTCTTCAAAGATCCAATTGCTAATATCAAAATGGGTCAGTGAATTAGCCACTTTTAAAGACAAATTTAAAAGCTTTTTAAGCAACATTTTAATTCACAAAATTAAAATTGATAAATTTATAACATTTAGAGGGGCCGCCTAAAACTAGAAATTGTAATGCATATATAAGAGAAATTAAATACAAATTTTCAGAGATATGCCACATTTATTTCGAAAAACCAAAAACTAGCCAATGTTTGGTCGAAAAATGTAGAACAAACTAAAACATCTAAGGTTTCCGTAACGGAACCACTAATCCTTGGTTAACTTTACAGTCCGAACTGGATGTGTTGGAGCCCACGCAGGGCATGCCTTTGGAGGTGGCCGTGTCCTTTCTGCAGCGTCTGGTCAACATGGCCGACGTACTGATCTTCGCCACCTCTCTGAACTTCGGTGAGTTGGAGGCGGAGAAGAACATGTCCAGTGGTGGCATCCTGCGCCAGTGCCTGCGATTGGTGTGCACCTGTGCGGTGCGAAATTGCTTGGAGTGCAAGGAGCGCACGCGCTATAATGTGGGTGCTCTGGCGAGGGATGTCCCGGGTGCGGCGCACCTGCAGGCCCTCATCCGCGGAGCTCAGGCATCGCCCAAGGTAAGAATATCCCCGCACACGACCACCGCCTCCTCGATTCACCCTCTCAATCCCTCAAACCCCTTCGAACAGAACATTGTCGAGTCAATCACCGGTCAATTATCGCCCGTCAAGGATCCGGAGAAGCTGCTCCAGGACATGGACGTCAATCGCCTACGTGCCGTCATCTATCGCGATGTGGTGAGTTTAGTTTTATTGTCTTTAAATATTTAATACTACCATTCAAAAAATTAAATGCTGACAGACAAACAAAAAACATCATTACTTTTTAAACGATTTTAAACTGTTAAAGTATTTTTACACAACTTTAAAACACCTTTTCAATTTCAATATCTAAATACTTTGGAATAAAACAAAATTCATAATTTTTGAAATACTTGTTTTTTACTGATAGGTGTAAAAAATCAGCATATTAATTTAGATTTTCGATAGAACATATGTTTAGCTTAAAGTTTATAAAGTTATAAGTGTTTACAACAATTTTAAAACTAAAATTTAAATCGGACAGAGTGCTTTCTACTTTGGGGACCTGATTCTTCCCATTCTTATGATCCTTATGTCATCCATTTTTTTTCAACCATTTCAGGAGGAGACAAAGCAGGCACAATTCCTGTCGCTGGCAATCGTCTACTTTATATCTGTGCTGATGGTGTCCAAGTACCGTGATATTCTGGAGCCGCCGGCAGAGCCGCAGATCCAGCGTCAATCGCCAGTGCTGCAGCGCACGGCAGGCGGCGGTAAGTGGCAATCAACTATACCCCGATTCCTCCGATATAATCCCACTATATATTGCCGACATTGGTCGAGATCAGTTCCCGGAAATGCCATAGATAATATTATATTATATTATACCCTATACTAGAGATGATCTTTACTGTAAGGGGAAACACGAACTTCTGCCGGCGGCAGTCAGTTCCGTTTCATTCTCATTTCGTGTTCCGTTTCGATTCGTTTCGTTTTGTTCCACTTGTGTTCCTCGGTTGCGTTTTATTTTCATTTTGCCTCGATTTCCGTTTTTGTTTTGTTTCCGATTTGATTAACCTTTTCTTGCTGCACCAAAAACTTCACGCTCGTTTATGGTTTAATACCTTTTGGCTCTGTTTTCGATTCGGCCGCTATTCTAACTAGATTTGTTTTATATAAACTATATATATATATATATTTCCTATATATGTATATTTAATTGATTTTATTGTTGTTTGATCTCTTCGTTCGATTGCTCATCTTGGTTTCGGCTTATTTCCGCTTCTGGTTTTGTGTTCTGTGTTTTTTGAAAAGCTGAACAAGAGTTTTTTAAATGGTAGATGCCACTCGATGAGAATTTTTTCGATTCACCTTAAAGCCCTTGACTAACCACCCCACAAACCACCGCACTTCAACCACTGGAACCACCTTAATTCCCCTCTAGAACTCCTCCCATGTGCGTGTGTGTGTTCCCTTTTTGAAAAATAAATCACCTCTCCCACATCATTACTCCATACACCACCCAAAAAACCCCACCCACCAATCCACTACCCGACCTTTTACTACTTAATATATATATACATATACATATATGCATATATATATATATATATATATATATATATATATATATATATATATTTACATATATATATATATATATATTTACATATATATATATATATATATATATATATATATATATATAATCACTAGCTATTAAGAACACAAAAATATCTCATGTCTGTCCATTGTTGGAGATACTATTCGGTTTTATGTTTCCTTTTCTTTGTTCCGTTTACCGATGATTTCATTTCACGCTGCTTTTTCGGATTTATTGTACAAAAAAAAAAAAACATAACTAAACAAAACGAAAAAAATACAACACCAAATTTCATTAAAACGGAAAACCAACGAATACCTCGCCTTTGCCACAACCCGCCCTTAAATATGTGTGTAAATATGATAAAAACAAAAACCAAAAAAAAAAAAAAAACATACCATTAAAAACTATAGAAGCCGCCAGTGCGCGTCCTTTGTTTCCCCAATGGTCGCATCATGTTTACCCGCAATTCCTGCCCGAATCGCACCAGAATCACAGCAGCAACATGCAACACCAGCAGCAGCAGCAACAGCAACACTACTATCAGCAACAACAGCAACAGCAGCAGGTTGCCCACAATCATAGCCATCATCACATGACTGCTGCTTACTACCAGCAACAGCAACAGCATCAGCAGCAACAGCAGCAACATCAGCAAGTTGGAGTATCTCAGCAGCAACATTCGCCCACTCCTTTGGCCACACATTCAACCAGTTCTTCGGCCAGTTCTACGGCCACATCTCAGCCAGCTTCGAGTTCCTCCCTCTCCAGCTTGGCCTCACAGAGTCAGCAGCAATCGCATCGTCAGTTGCACAAGCAGCAGCAACAGCAGCAACATCAGCAGCAGCAACAACAACATTACCATCCACATCAGCCGCACTACGGATTGATCAATGGTCATCAGCAGCATCAGCAGCATCAGCAGCTGAATGGCAAACATTATACGGAAAATGGATCGGCAGCGGGATATCATCAGCATCCTCATCCTCATCCACATCCACATCCACATCCGCATGGTGGCTATATGCGAAATGGCGAGTCGACGGTACAGCAGAATGGCATTTCCGACTATCAGGCAGTGGGATTGATGAATGGACATGGCTCCAGTGCAACGGGCAATAACAACAATCCCAGCCTGATGAACAACATACGAAATTTGAGGAATGGAGCAGCAACGTCGTCATCATCGCCGGGAACCCAAGGTGGAATTGCCACTACGGGAGCTGTAAATGCAAATGCTGCTGGTGTTGGCATGGGTGTTGGTGTGGGCGTGAGCGTGGGCATGGGCATGGGCATTGGGGGCCTGGCAGGGGGCTTGGATGGAGGCGTGGCCTACAAGACGAGCGCCATAAATAATAATTATCGCTACAATGGACGCAACGCATCCGCTGGAACAGGTATCGCTCGTTCGACTGTCGTAGAGTTTATAGAGTTACAAACTTCGCACTACTGCCCAAATATCTATATATATATATGTATTTCTAAACTGTAATCTGTGATCTGTATCTAACTATCTGTAAATCTTAGCTGTTTAGCCATGTTCCACTGAAAAGTCGACCATTTGAAAGATTCATTATTTATTCACTAAATCTGGAAATAATAACAAGAGAATTTATCTTGCACTGAGATAAATCCTCTACGATTTTCAATGTTTACACTAAAAATTTGAATATATAACGTAATCCTTTCCTAATTTGGAATTTTTCAATATGAATCTTTGAATTACAGTGTGGAACACGGCTATACCTCTCTTTTTTAGCTGCTAGACTGTTGCCCACTTTCTTGCCTTTCCTTGCGATTCGTTACGATTTAATTTGTTTTCGATTTTGGTTTTGATTTTAATCGTTTCACTTGCCTTTCATTTCCTTGACTTTCCGTATTCGTAGTTGTCTGTGTATATATTGCTACCCTTTTCCACATATATATAGATATATAGATTTGTGTGCTTATAAAACCCTCCCCCACACAAAAACACACTGAAACGTACTGAGTCATGGAATTATGTTAATGTTCTAAGCCAACTCTTTCTGCTATTTTTTACCTATTCGTTAGATGTTTGATTGTGTGTGATTAAGGGTATGGGTTTGTGTTTAATACATATATATATATAGGGCACAAACACACACTCATACCTCAGGGAGTAAGAGAATGTTCCTTTTTGTTTTTCTATTATTTGCTTTTTAATTGGTTCTACAAATATATACATCTTCGTTTCAATTTTCAATATGAAATTAAATAAAAAAAATATTAACGTTTGTCATAAGCTTTGGTAGGCGCTAGCTACATATATATGTTTTTACATTATGTATTTATTCATTGGAGTGTGTAACAGGAAGAAGAAAGCGTTTTCGACCCTATAAAGTATACATATTCTCGATCAGGATTAACAGGCGATTTGACCAAGCCATGTCCGTCTGTTTGTATAAACGTCGAGATCTTAAAAACTATAGCAGCTAAAGATTTGTGGTTAAAAATTCCAGATTATTGATTTTAGTTATGCAAAAGTCTATCACGGCACTCTGAAACATGACAGGGGTCAGTTCATACCAATTTTTCAAATCGGACCATCATTTAAGAAGATATATGCATTGATGCAAATTTTTGGTTAGCTGAGTAACGGCTTTCTAAAAGTCGGGGCACTCGACTATAGCGTTTCTTCTTGTATATTGTGAATTTACCTAATCACCTCTCATTCAACGCACTAAGTAAATAATCTGCTTTGTCAGAGCAGTTTTCCCTGATGATTTATCAATTTGACTTCATTTTTCTGCTGCACATTGCACCATCAATTTTTATTTGTTATTAGGCAATTTGAAAAACAAAACATTCTTTTGTAGTTAGGAAACTTGTCATTTTGATTTTATGTTACACATTAAAATGATGGTGGAATTTTCGAAAAACTGAGTAATTGAGAATGGGTTTTAATTGGGTTCCTGGTTTCTAATGTGTGAGGAAAATGGCAGAGATGGTGTAATGGCTAGCCTGAAAATTGTCGGCCGGCCAAACAACGGTATCCAAATATGCTTTTAAAAACTGCAATCTATCTTTGTAGAACTCACACATGCACACAGTGACAGCTAGAAATTTTTGACACGTTCGGGGTTCTAGGACTTTCTCCCTCTGTCTCTCTTACTCTGCCGTTTTTTTTTTTTAGCTCGTCATTTTTGGGCTGTCAACAAAAATCCATTTCATTTATCTTCATTTGCTATACACTCTCACACCCACAGGCACACACACCCAACCACACACACACACACACTCGAATAGGCAGAGTGAAAGCTGGAAAATGTTGAGCACTCCCCCGAAACCTCCCACGTTTCCCCACCGGCAATGAAACATAATTCGTTAATTTTACATTTTATGAAAATGAATTACACGAAAATTATACAATTTGCCATTTATACATGGCTCTCTCTCTTTCTCTCTTTAATGTGTGTGTGTGTGTGTATGTGCGTGGGCAAGTGTGAGTGCGCATAAAACATTTCGCAGACAGGCCATAAAACGGCATTCGGCACGCCTGCATTTTAAAAATTGTAAAAATTGCCATTGGACATGGTCAGGAAAAAGGCCAAGGAAGAGAAAACAGGGAAAACCCGAAAAATGGTATTCGAACTGCCTTTTATTTCATTCTGTATAACACAAATACCCTGTAAACAGATAGAAAATATGGTCAAGTTTGAAATTTAACCAGATCATATTTATACAAGTTTTAAAATAATAAGCAGATAACTTAATAATAATAATTTTAATTTTTTTATTTACTGCATAAAGTTGCGTTTTTCAAAACCAACTTTAAAGCAATAATCAAAGGACAGTCGCTGACCATAGATCCTTTTAAAACAGCATGCTGCAACAACAACATGCCCATTACGGAATTAATGGCAGCGACAAAAATGTAAATTAGTCTCACCGAAAAATACGAAAAACAAAAAAAAAACGAAAACATAACAGACTGGGGAAAACTTTGGGATAATTTATGAAAGGACAAGGGAAAAATTAAAAAAAAAAAAAAAAGGTGGAAAAACAGTTTGTACAACTGTTGGAGCCGATAACACGCTCCGACTTCTGTACAAAAGTAATTTGTGGCCAGCTCCCTTTTAACCTATGTGTGTGTGTGTCTGTGTGAGTGGCGAGTAAGGGCGTGGCAGTGCATGAAAGTAATTGCAAATTAAACCGAAAAAAACACAAAAAAAAAACAGAAAATGAAATAAGGGTGTAGTGGGGGCGAACAACGAGTGCACGAAAGTGTAGCATACTTAACAGAGCCAGCAAAAGAGATGGCACGAGTGCTTGTAGACAGAGACAGAGAGCACGTGTCTACGGGACAATCATAAATTTCAATTAAGCCAGATCAGGACATGGCCAACAGTTGAACAAGGTTAATTTGCAGATAAAAGCCAGAGAGCCAAGTCCAGGAAAATCTTACAAATTATGGGCTCTTAGGTACACCGAAAAACCGTGGGAATAATAAATGAAATTTCCCATACAGTTTTTTAAATTATTATTTCTAGATTGAGAACTCCAAAAATCTACGAAAATGTTCATTATTGTTTTTCTATGCACCCAATGCTTAATCCTCTACGACACCTTTGTGTGTGTGTGAGCTTAAGTTGGTTTTTATTTCGTGTTCTTGTTTTCTTATTTGGTTTTTCCTTTTGAGTTCGTCTACAGCTTCGTAAAGTAAATTCTACAGATTTCTACTCTAGTTTTGTAATTGTAACTGCAACAGCAAAGAACATATTTGAAAAGAAAATTTAAATTAAAATAATAAATAATCAAAAAGTTAATCTCTTTGTTATTGTTTCTCTTTCTTGCATCTCTTTGTGTGTTTTCTTTTTCAGGTGGTCGTCAAATTCAGGATAGTGATTATGAGATAATTGTTGTCGATGAGAACAATCCATCCGTTTTGGCCGATAATGATTCACATTCCAGTGGACCCCCATCCATAAAGGTGAGTTCTTAGAGTATTACATTTATATGCAGTCCACTCTTAGGTATACTTTTTAAGTGATTTCAAATCACTATATAATTACCCTTGAATTCAATTTATTTTCGAGAGAGAAAAGTGTGTGTAAGAGAGTGTTGCATGTGTGAGTGTGTGCAACCATGCAACCTTGTGTGTGTGCGTGTGCGTGTGCATCCCCAACTAGAGATAAATCATAAGTTAAATGCCAAAAAAAAAAAACAAAAACTAAACTTCATTTGCATGTGCAACGAAACTAAATTATTTGTATGCAAATCAATCACAACGAAAAATGTCACAGGCCAACCAGACAACAACAACAACAGCAACAACAACAACAACAACCCATATTAACAACAACAACACTAAGACTACAACAACAGCAAATGTTCCAACAACAACAACAACAACAATTAAAATTCAACAACAACCATTGTCACCACCCAAGCCGTTGGTGCCACAAAAATTACCAAAGGTAAAAAAAAAAGTTTCCAAAATTCAAAATGCAAAAAAAGAAATTCAGCAACAATTATTGCAACTGCAACGAAAGCAGCTTTTGACAGTCAGTAAAAATGAAAAACACAATACCCCCTGTGCACCACTGTGAATTTCAAAAAAAAAAAAAAAAAAAAAAAAAAAAAAACACCGAACCACCCACACACGTACAGCTTACAAATACATTTGACGCACTCAAAAAATACCCCAAAACTTTCTGTTTATTGAAAGTGAATACTCACATTTAGGTTTTATTTTTTATTTGTCGCCATTCATTGCGTTTTGATTTTGTGTGTTTTGCGTTCAGCTCTAATTGCTGTCGCACATTTGTCGCCTGCAGCCTTTGTTTATCCTTAGTATTTTTGTCTGTAATTTGGTTATCAGTGTTTGACATTTTTCGGTCTTTTGCCAAATCATCATTAAAATATTTCTATTCAAACTTTTAATAGGAAATTCAATATTCTTATTTTGTGTTGAATTTTTTAATTACTTTACACAAATGTTGCCCAATTACTGTATTAAAGTTTAGTTAGGCCTATTTCACAAAGAATTATAAATATAATAATAATTCCAATGTAATAAACCTTAATTGAGGTCTTATTACTTAATCTAAAAGTCAATCATTTACGTAATGATTGTTTAGTCAGCATTATCCAATCGCTGTGATTGTTTGCTTCAACATTTTGTTTTGTACTACTAACGCTTTAGATTTGACTTCTCATTTGAATGTGTTTCATTGATTTCTAGGCCTTGAGTTTGCAATTAGTTTGGATCCATGTTTCATTTTGTAATCTCCACCGACAAATCAACGCACTTAATGAGTCGTACAGGCACACCCAACCACCCAAAGTGCCACTAAAACCACCTTGTGGCGCCTGGGAAAGTATGCATCATTGTGTATATACATATATATATACATATATGCATATGTTTATGTGTGTGTGTATGTGTGTGAGTGCTTGGGATTTATCCCATTTGTGTTTGTATATGTTAATGTCTGCGTATGTCTTGTGCAATTAGTGATACATAGCTGTAAAACACACACTCTTACACTCAGATTCACTCTCACATAGAGCACTTCTTGGCTTTTATCGCTTTTTTGGGGTAAACACCCGAAAAGCCCCACACCACCACCACACACACACACCCTAATGAACTACTACACTCGCATTATTTATGCCCCCCACCTCACATACACACACACGCACACACACACACATACGCTTAGTGATTAGCTGTCGTTCGTGTGTGTGCGGGTGTGTTCGGGTGAGTGCTAAGTGCAATGCCTCTTCCACTCATTCGCTCATATACAACCCCCCTCCCCCCTTAATGAATGCGTGCATATATCACAGTTGACAAGATTGGAGACCCCGAAATGAGGCACAGGTTTTGTGGGAAGGGGGGGCGTGCGTTGGGTTGAGAGAAATTGGAATTTTTGGGTTCCCAACAAGGATACGGACACCGCAATACTCGTGAAATCGAGGGCAAACAAAGGCGATTGATTTCGTGTTGATGACAATCCGGTGCCACACGCAACAGCTGTCCTAGGGTTTGGATTTTTGGCAGTTTTAGGCCCTCCCCTACCACCCCCAAGCTCCCCCGATAAAGGACATCTCTCCCTTGAGCGGACAACACGAACGCACGGACACGCTTATAGCCGACATTCGTGTTGGTCTCTGACAGCTGACATTTGTCAAACGCTTAACAAAATTTGTCATATGCCATACACGTTTCATTCCACACCATTCCGCATCGTTTCATTTCGGTGCGTTCCATTTCGCTCGACCGACGTTGTTGTTGTCCTATCCCAAAATCTGTGGGTTCGAGGGAATCTGGACTACTTTTATGCAAATCACTTGACAAACTGTCGCCGCAATGGACGCCGATGAGTGACAGTTGTTGAATAAACAGGGGAAACCGGGGTCTAGTCAGGATTGTCGACGAATAGACGGATAGGAGGGGAAGGGGTTGTTGAGGGGTGATCCCGGCTCGAGTTGATGACAAATGCATGTGTTGACAAAACGGACAGAGGGGGTGGGGGTCTCAGCTCTGCTTGGGAATTTTGATTTATAGTCCAATGTGCATAATTAATGTGCAAATGATAGGCACACATCAAAAACCCACACAAACACAGCAAACATCAGCACGCCCACGCACACCAAAAAGCGAAAGAGTGAGGGGGTGCACTGGAAAACCAATTATTTTTTCTCAATTTTAATTTGAAAAGAAATTACAACTTAAAGTTGATTTTGCTTTCAATAAACTATTGGATTCTATTGTCGATAAACACCTAACACTTTATTAAATGCACTAAATGTTAAGTAGCTTGAATATCATTTCATGACATCAAATTTCACTGTCATACTTGCATACTATTTTGCCGAGTGTAGTAGAGATAAACCCCCTGTCCGAAAGTGGGAATTCACTTGATTGCTCTTCTACCGAAATCCATGCATATTTTGATTGCCTACTTATTTTCATATCTCCTTTGCAAAAAAAAAAAAAAAAAAAAAAAAAAAAATATTCCCAACATAAATCATAGAGCGTCGACTCGGATGTGGGCTCCCTCAACATGAACTCCACGGAGAACGAGGTGCCCGAGGTGGAGTCATCCAGTGAGATCCTCATCGATGACCACAAGCCGAGTCACTCGAACGACGAAAGCTGGACGGATGTGAATCTCAACGAGGATGCAGCCGTTCAGGCGGCCAATGCTGGAATGGTTGTTGGACTGGTGGACAATGGCGGCAATGTTATATCAGACAAACACGATCCGTCGCATCACAATCAACAGCAACAGCAGCATCAGCAGCATCAGCAGCAGCAGCAGCAGCAGGCGGGGATTATCGGACAGCAACATGGATCACTTGGCCATTCGGAGCGGGGTGATAAACCAGATTCGGAAATTTCGGTTGTCCGTGTGCCCGATGGCTATGGCGGTGCCGGTTCTGGCGTCAATTCTGGCCAAGGACAGGGTGTCCCGCCAAATCAGCGTCCTCGTCCCGAGGAATTGCCAATGAAGGCGCCCGCTTTGGTGGCCCAACTACCGCTGACAACGCCGTCGCGGGAAGCAAGTCTCACCCAGAAACTGGAGATTGCATTGGGACCGGTGTGTCCTCTGCTCCGTGAAATCATGGTGGATTTCGCACCCTTCCTGTCCAAAACTCTCGTTGGCTCCCACGGACAGGAGCTACTGATGGAGGGCAAGGGTCTGACGACCTTCAAGAACTCGCATTCCGTGGTGGAACTGGTCATGTTGCTCTGCTCGCAGGAATGGCAAAACAGTCTGCAAAAGCACGCTGGCCTGGCCTTCATCGAGTTGATCAACGAGGGTCGCCTGCTGTCGCATGCCATGAAGGACCACATTGTGAGGGTGGCCAATGAGGCGGAGTTCATCCTCAACCGAATGCGAGCCGACGATGTCCTCAAGCATGCCGACTTTGAATCGCAGTGTGCCCAAACGCTCTTGGAGCGAAGGGAGGAGGAGCGAATGTGTGACCATTTGATAACAGCTGCGCGTCGCAGGGATAATGTGATTGCAAGTCGCCTGCTGGAGAAGGTGAGAAACATCATGTGCAATCGCCACGGAGCCTGGGGAGATTCGAGTGCCAGTTCGAGTGGTGGCGCCATTGTGGGAGCGGTGCAGAAGAGTCCGTACTGGAAACTGGATGCCTGGGAGGACGATGCCCGACGTCGCAAACGGATGGTGCAGAATCCGCGCGGCTCGTCGCATCCGCAGGCTACGCTCAAGGCGGCTCTGGAGAACGGTGGACCCGAGGATGCCATACTGCAGACACGCGACGAGTTCCACACCCAAATTGCCGTGTCGCGGGCACATCCATCGGGCCAGCACAATGGTGAGCTGTTGGACGATGCTGAGCTGTTGATCGAGGATCGGGAATTGGACTTGGATCTCACGGGTCCCGTCAACATAAGCACCAAGGCGAGGTTGATAGCTCCGGGACTGGTGGCACCCGGCACGGTCTCCATAACCAGCACAGAGATGTTCTTCGAGGTGGACGAGGAGCATCCGGAGTTTCAAAAGATCGATGGTGAGGTCCTAAAGTACTGCGATCATTTGCACGGCAAGTGGTACTTCTCCGAGGTGAGGGCCATCTTTTCGAGACGTTATCTCCTGCAGAACGTGGCCCTGGAGATCTTTCTGGCCAGCAGGACGTCCATACTGTTTGCCTTTCCCGATCAGCATACGGTCAAGAAGGTGATCAAGGCCCTGCCGCGTGTGGGTGTGGGCATAAAGTATGGGATACCACAGACCCGTAGGGCCTCCATGATGTCACCGCGCCAACTGATGCGCAACTCCAACATGACCCAGAAATGGCAGCGTCGCGAGATCAGCAACTTTGAGTATCTAATGTTCCTCAATACGATCGCCGGTAGGACGTACAACGACCTGAACCAGTATCCCATCTTTCCATGGGTGCTGACCAATTACGAGTCCAAGGACTTGGACTTGAGCCTGCCCTCCAACTATAGGGATCTCTCGAAACCGATTGGCGCATTGAACCCCTCGCGCAGAGCCTATTTCGAGGAGCGTTACGAGAGTTGGGACAGCGACACCATTCCGCCCTTCCACTACGGCACTCACTATTCCACGGCGGCCTTCACGCTCAATTGGTTGGTGCGAGTGGAACCGTTCACCACCATGTTCCTGGCCCTGCAGGGCGGCAAATTCGACTATCCGGACAGGCTGTTCAGTTCGGTGTCATTGTCGTGGAAGAACTGCCAACGCGACACGTCGGATGTAAAGGAACTGATACCCGAATGGTATTTCCTGCCCGAGATGTTCTACAACTCGTCGGGCTATCGGTTGGGCCATCGCGAGGATGGCGCCTTGGTGGATGACATCGAACTGCCGCCGTGGGCCAAGAGTCCCGAGGAGTTTGTGCGCATCAATCGCATGGCCTTGGAGTCGGAGTTCGTGTCCTGCCAACTGCATCAGTGGATCGATCTGATCTTTGGGTATAAGCAGCGTGGTCCCGAGGCCATTAGGGCCACCAATGTGTTCTACTACTTGACGTACGAGGGCAGCGTGGATTTGGATGGGGTCTTGGATCCCGTGATGCGTGAAGCCGTTGAGAATCAAATTCGCAACTTTGGCCAGACGCCCAGTCAACTGCTAATGGAACCGCATCCGCCACGCAGTTCGGCCATGCATCTGTCGCCCATGATGTTCAGTGCAATGCCGGAGGATCTGTGTCAGATGCTCAAGTTCTACCAGAACTCGCCGGTCATTCACATTTCGGCCAACACGTATCCGCAGCTTTCGTTGCCGTCGGTGGTCACGGTCACGGCGGGTCACCAGTTTGCCGTGAATCGATGGAACTGCAGTTACACAGCCTCCGTCCAGAGTCCCAGCTACGCCGAATCGCCCCAATCGCCAGGCTCCAATCAGCCACTCACCATCGATCCGGTTTTGGGTGAGTGCTATATCATATGCCCGTTGTCCCGATTCCCGCTTTAATCCACTTCTTTTCAGCTGTCCATGGCACCAATAACAATAGCAATGCGGTCAGCCGACGTCATTTGGGCGACAATTTCAGCCAGATGCTAAAGATTCGATCGAACTGCTTTGTCACAACGGTGGACAGCCGGTTCTTGATCGCCTGCGGCTTTTGGGACAACAGTTTCCGCGTTTTTGCCACCGAAACGGGTAAGTTTGGCATCATACAATTGCGATTTCATGACTATTAGGGCATTTTTTTGGCACTTATTGGATGGATGAATATTTATTCCAATTAAAGGTAAAACATATTATTTGCTTTGTAAATTGGTTTTCATTTAATTTGAAAATCAATATTACAATAGCAGCATTTAGTTAGCTTGAATTGTTATTTTAAGAACCAACCAAATACATTTATTTATTTAATAAATAATAATTTATTTAATCTTTTGTGTGGGTTTTAAATTAACCTTTTCCCATGATAAGCCACAAGTTTTTGGGCAAAACTTAATTGAAAACAATACAATATACAATTGGATAATATTTAGAAATCAAAATAAATATTTGGTTATTGGCATTTTAAAATAGTAGATATCCAGGTTTAATTGTTTGTTTATTTTTCATCTTTATGATTTTGTATAAAGTATTTACTTCTTCAACCCCAAAATGTGTTCTTTTCTGCTATCTGTAGCGAAAATCGTGCAGATTGTGTTCGGTCACTTTGGAGTGGTGACGTGCATGGCCCGTTCCGAGTGCAACATCACCTCGGACTGCTATATAGCCTCCGGATCGGCCGATTGCACGGTGCTGCTGTGGCACTGGAATGCCCGAACCCAGAGCATCGTGGGTGAGGGCGATGTGCCCACGCCACGTGCCACTTTGACGGGTCACGAGCAGGCGGTGACCTCGGTTGTGATCAGTGCCGAATTGGGTTTGGTTGTCTCTGGATCGTCAAGTGAGTATTATTTTGCAGGGTTAAGGGTGATTGGGTAAGTCGGGCACTAAGCCAATCTGTACTTTTAGACGGACCCGTACTGATCCACACCACTTTTGGCGACCTTCTGCGCTCACTGGATCCACCGGCGGAGTTCCACTCCCCGGAACTGATCACCATGTCCCGCGAGGGCTTCATTGTCATCAATTACGACAAGGGCAACGTGGCCGCCTACACCATCAATGGCAAGAAATTGCGCCACGAGACGCACAACGACAATCTACAGGTGGGTTTTTCTCCCCACTTCTTTTTCTTAAAAATTCCCCAAATTTTTGGTTCTTACAATAATAATTATTTCACAATTATAATACCATAAAACAATTCATATTTTTCAATTTTTCAGTGCATGTTGCTGTCGCGTGATGGCGAATACCTGATGACCGCCGGCGATCGCGGCATCGTGGAGGTGTGGCGCACCTTCAATCTAGCACCACTTTATGCCTTCCCCGCCTGCAACGCGGGCATACGATCTTTGGCCCTCACCCACGATCAGAAGTAAGTTAAATCTCAAAAACCACATAAATATCCCTTAAATTAGCTATTTTAATACTAAAAATTATAAAAAATTAAAACCAATTGTATTTTTAACTACTTGGGTATTCTTTCCATTAGATTTTATGTTTATTTCAAAAAAATTATATGTTAAAAATATACCCAAAAGCAGAGCACCAACCTAATAATATGAAATTTACTTAAGTTAAGGCTTTAAAGTTACTTAACTTGAAGAAAACTTTATAGAAATAATAAAACATTATATGGTTAACAAAATAGTAAAAAAAAATACAAACTGTAGAGCATTGAATTTGCATTAAGACAAGTATTTAAAGGCCTACAAATTATTATTCCATTTTATTTAACAATCAACTTTTATCTTAGTTAGGGTCGCTTTTAACCGTTTTTAACCCCTTGCTTTCCCCGCTTTTCTACCTTTCCTCCCCTACTTCTCTATATAGATACCTTCTGGCCGGACTTTCGACGGGCTCGATCATAGTATTCCACATCGACTTCAACCGCTGGCACCACGAGTACCAGCAGCGCTACTAAGTTTGGACGCTTGGACATTCCAACAACCCACGACTCGCCAGTTAACAAAGGCCAAGAAAATGGAAACAGTAACGGAAACGGAAACGAAAACTGAAACGGAAATAAAATATGGAAACGATCGCAAAGCAACTACGAAGTACTTAAAAAAAAAAAATGGCAAGGATGGAAGATCGGTTTTTTTCTATATAGACCTTTACAACTCTAGGCTAGTAAGCGAAACTATGTTTTTTTTTGTCTAGTATTAATTGTGCATTAGTGTGTGTTTGGCCCATGAAAGCCAGTCAAAAAAAAAAAAAGTAACAACAAAAAAAAAAGAGAACGGAACAGAACAGAAGATGAAAACATTTTTTTTACTAGTATTAACGAAATGTATGTTAAGTTATGGCAAAATGGAGGAGGGCAAAGGCAAAAGCAAAATTGAAACGGCAAAAAACAAGGAGATAGCGACGGAGGAGAAGGCAAGTGAGAAAAGTTGGCGGCTTAAGTAAGTAGTTGAAATAAGACAAATGAAGTTAGTGTTTATAAAACGCAATAAGCAGTTAATAAATCTTAAAGTAAATCTAAAACTAAAGCTAATTCCACATGCATTATAATACCAACGTAGCAAAAGTTCTCATAAAAATTTAAACAAACAAAAAAAAAAAACAAAACGCTGCGCAACGCAAATGAAGGGAGAAAATAATGAAACTAAAGCGGCCAAAAGAAAGAAAAATGGTAGAGAAAGCAGAAAGCCAATTTTTAATTATAGCGTTAGTTCTTTGTGACAAATCCACACACACAAATACACACTCCGAAACACATCCCATTTTTACACACACACACACATAAACAAGGTAACCAAGCAAGGACAATGCCAAGGCAATAAAGCTGATAAATAGAGAAGAAAAGAGAGGGCAGAGTAAAACGGAGCAGGAAACGGAAGTGAAGCATGAGGCGGATACGAGATATTTTAGTACACACACGCATATGTATTTGTAGCTGACTAACACTCAACTTAACTACAACAAAAAAACGCTAACTAAAATCCAAACAACAACTAAAATATCAACGCTGCTAAGAGCCACAGAATATAATAAATAAATAACAGCAACAAAAACAAATATAAAAAGGCATTTTATATATATAAATAAACTTACAGATATATCCGCCAACGGAAGCGGAATATGCTAAACTTATCCAAGCGAATGCGGCGATTTCGTTTTTCGTTCTCGTTTCACAAATATCACGCATACGCCATGCTGCACCGACCGCTAATTTCGAAACGAGAGCGAAAACAAACAAAAACATAAACGTAAACAAAATATAGTCTTTACATATGTATTCGTTGTTTTTTTTTTTGTATATTCTCTACAATTGTTTGTTCTTTGTATTTTTTTTTTTTGTTAGCTATATTTGTTAGGTAAAAGTGAGAAAATTTTCGATTGCGTCCAAAATTAGCCTACTACCCCCTATGTCACGTCGACTCCCAAAAAATGAAAAATTGGCTTCCTTGAAACAAAACCAATCAATGAACGTCCAGGATGAGGTGTTTTTTATAATATATTAACCGCAGATTCTGCCTTTGATTTTCCCAAGCGATTCGCAACCAAAAACAAAAACAAAAACCAACCAATCCATCCATGGCGCACCACTCTGGCACTTACCGATTAGATTTGTATATAAAAACGAGTGCTAAGGCAATTACTATAACCATACTTCAAGTATATATAGAGTTTACGGCTAAAAACGTACACATTCGGTTGTAAAAGCGCAAAAGCGATACAAATTGAATCAAGTCCAGCTGAAAGAAACCCTCCCCAAAATAAAATTGGAACCCACATATAGGTATCGTGAATGTATGAATATGTTGTGTGGAGCTGGAAAATCATCCTCGCTTACAGATAAACACATATAAGCACGGACGTTTATCCAGCTCTTATTGTTGTGTCTTGTCCGATTTAATCTGGAGCTTGAAGAAAATACCCTAAAACAGATACGTTTTCCCATTTACTTTTTTTCCTTTTCGTGTGCGATTTTTTTTTCAGATCTTAAGAAACTCCACAATTTATCACCTTAAATACGAACTTAATTCGCAATTAGAACGGATTCAATTTTTCCACTCTCTGTGTGTACATATTTAGGAAGCATTATGCTAATAACAGCTAGAATGACAACCCTCAGCAAATTAAAAAAATAAATAAACATTTAGTAATAATCCACGCAAACAGCTAACATTTAATTTCACGAATTTTTTTGTTTTGTTAAGTCCACAAGAGTAAATTAAATACCGCGTCAAAGCGAAGGTGACGAATAAAAATTACAACTATTAGTAATTTAAATGTTGTACATAAATCCATGGAAAACTGTCCTAAGAGTAAAGTATTTTTAAAGCCCAATCCGAAAGTCAGCAACTAAGCATCCGAACGGAAAAGAGGAAAAGGAATTCAAATCAAATCAAATTAAAGGAAACGCAATGAAGCGAAAGCGGATAACTTGAACTCGATGGAAAAGTCGAGGCAGAAAACTCGAACTCCGAGCAGTTACTACAATTTTTTTTTTGCTCGCACAGCCGTGTGTATCTTAATATGATATGGTATTAAAAGTTTAGCTATTAACTGAAAGTATACAGAAAACATGAATATTAACTGCGGACGCCAACAATTTTTAATTACGCACTTTTTATATAACTTAATGAAGATGAGAAAGTTGGAAAATCGAGACGGTAGTCATATTAAACATAACATAAATATAAATAAATTACATAACGTTTTTATTAAAAAAAAGAAACAAGAAAATGGCTGACAATTTTAAATTTATACAAAACGAAAATTTAACTTCACAAAGAGTAAAGTTATAAATGAAGGAAAAATACAAAAAAAGTAAAAGCAAAAAATATGTTAGAAATTTACTCATGCACGGGCAAGATTTATTTCATATAATTATTTACACAGGCGGAAGAAGGCATTTTAAAATTAGTGCATAAAGCCGAAAATCGCAGGCAAAGTTAAAGCTAAAGACAGGCACACACAAAAAATAACACACACACACATATACACAATCGAAATATATATAGATATACATGTGTATATATATTTTGTCAACATTGTTAAATAGCAGACTAACAAACAAGAGAGCCAAAAACAACAATTTAATCTATTCAGCAGCAGCAACAAAAGCAAAAGACAGCAAAATACGAAATACAAATTACGAATAACAAATTACAAAATACATAAAAAGATAATGCTACGAAATAAATGTTCATTAATATTGCTAAACAAAAACCATTTATATATATAGATATATATAAAAGAAAAAAATTTTTTTTTGCAAAATGCGTGTATTGAAATTGATAAAAGCAAGCGAAAATTTAACACATTAAATAATAAACAAAGGCGGGAAATGATTAAGCGAAAAGCGATGACGCGGCAGAAAAGAGAGGTCGAAAGGTTAGCTAGCGAGGGGCGAAGGGCAAACAATTTATGCATATTAAAATTAAATTTAAAATACGCTACAATTCTAACAAACTAAGCTTACACCTACACACACACACCACATTCCCCTCCCCCCTAAAACACATACACACACAAACACAACTAATTATTAAACAGAAAAAAGATTAAATTGCATGGAAGTAATTAAAGGTCGCGCGTTGAATGAGCGTTAAAGAAAAATTTCAAATTAAATTTAAGCTACAAATTTAAAAAGCGAAAGTGAGCAAGCATTAAAAGTAACAACAACAAAAACAAAACGAAACAACAAATTATTATGTTCAATAAAGAAACACAAAAATGCAAAACAAAAAAAAAAACTGAAGAGTAAAAAATACAAAATAAAACCGAACAACAAAAACAATGAAATCTTACAAAAAAAAAAAAAAAACAAACATCGAATTTGTTTTCTATTTTGGCGCAACGAGGAAGGGAATGTGGAAAGTCAATTCATTTTGGCCAAAATCCTCTTTTTCAGCTGTGACCTGGTTTTGCCGTCGATTCTGCTGGCTTGCAATAATTTCATTTTCCTAACAATTGAACAGCCAGAAAGGAAAAATCCCAACCAGCATACAAACACAAAAAAAAAAAAAAAAACGAAAACGAAAACGAAAAGCAGGCAAAAATTGAAAAGCGAGACAACGATTCCATGGGCTAAGCAATTAAAGCGCCTCGTTCATTCGCGTTCCTTGGCTCCTTTTTGCACGCTCCAGTTGCGTTTCCAGTTGCAATTGCTGGGAAAAGCGGAAAAGCCGGGCGGGAAAAGCGGGTAAAAGCGGTGGAGATAAAGGAAAAACAGGGCCAGAAGAAAAGGTGAGTGCCAGGCGCTAAGGACAACTTTGAGGGCAGCTGTCTAAACACGGAAAATGCATCAAATTGCAAAAGCAGCAGTAGCAGCAGCAGTAGCAGCAGCAGTAGCAGTAGCAGCCAACATCCACGTTGTCATCAAAAGTCATATCTCTTTCATATTATTCCAGTTACCCACCAACAGTGCTTCCCCACCGCCGCTGTGTGTTTTCTGGAGCGTGTAATATCCGTTTCCTGCATTTCCGGTTGCAGGCAACAACATCAGCAACAACAACAACAACATCAGCAACAACGGTACGAAGGATGAAGTAGCAAGCAGTAGGAGTTGCCTGAAAATTGCTAGCGGAAATGCTGCAAAATTAACGAGCAACGCGGTTTAGAGAGGGAACACCGCCACACAGCCAGGTGGCAGTCAACAGGCAGACGCCTCCATATACTATTTGCCAGGACTAAGAACAGGACTAAAAACCAGGTTCAAGCCAAAGTAAATGCAAACAATTTCTCACCGGCTTGTGGGTTTTTAATACCCTTTTTATCAAGCGTATCATAATTTTCAATGATAGCTTGCATTACAAGGTATTACAACAATACAATACCTTGGTTAAGTAATATGACAACTCTTAATTATTATAAACATCTAGGTACCTGAGACTTGAAAATTTCCATGGCCCATAGTTAAAGAATGCATTTAAAAAAAAACCCCAAAATAGATCGAGACATTAAATGCCGTACAAGTTATCATCATAGTTTGCTTCTTAAAAATTTAAACTTATTGAAACTTGGTCAATTTCCGTATGGTGAAAAGGAAAAAAAGATCATGCTAGTTTCGAAACAAAATGTTGCCAATAAATCCAAGAGTATTTAAAGTTTCATCATCCTCTTTTTTTCTCTCCCTGTTCCTCTCACATTCTTTTTTCGTTTTTGCCCGCCTTACAGAATGCATATTTTTCCCTGGCAAGTAGGGGGCGTGCCAGAAGGCGGAGGAGGGAGGGAGGGCCTTGGAGGAGCCGTCCAGCTTCGGCAGCAGCTGCAAATTAGACGCATCGCTTAACCAGCAATGACATAAAGCAGCCAAGTGGCAGCAACAGCGCTAACAACGTCCTGGAGTCATCATCATCATCATCATCATCATCATCATCATCATCATCATCATCATCATCATCATCATCATCATCATCATCATCCGACGCCCTATGCATCTGGGTTTAAAATCAACACACAAAATGCTGGAGAAAAAGCAAACTGAATCCGGACTCGGATAGAGATGGAGATAGAGATAGCAATAGAGATGGCGATAGAGATGGCACTACTAGCAAAAAAAAAAAAAAAAAAAAAAAAAAAAAAAGGACACAAAGCGAAAAGAGAAATGTTGCAGGACAGTTGAGGGCAAATAAAGCATACAAAATTAATGAGCTCGTCACGTTTTGCGTATGGCCAACCGGTTCGGGGTCACCTTAATTATGGCCACAATTAACAGTTGCTACACCAAGAGACAGCCACACCGACAGAGACAGAGAGAGAAGAGAGACAAAACGATGTTGAGAGCGAAAAAGACGGGAAGACAGCAGGTGTTGTATCCTCCCTATATATGTATGTATATATGTATGGCCATAGCTCTTGCGTCTCTGTCTGTGTGTAATCTCATTACAAATTCAAATGCCCTGCATCAGCTGCCAGCCAAGGCAGCCCTAGAATACACCACCGCCCACAAAGCCACCCACAGAGCGCCCCACTTAACCACTGAGCCACCCAACTACCCAACCACCCCTCCACCCCGTTTTGGCTGGCCAGCACTTGACGGTGTCCGCCTGGCAAATGTTTCAGACCACGTTGTCACTCAATTATGTGCCATGTGCGCAGAGCGTAGCATACTTTTCAGCACCACCCCACTCCCTCGGGCCAGCCTGGACCACCACCTGCACCACCCGCACCACCCGCACCACCCGCACCACCCGCACCACCCGCACCACCAGCCACACATATGCACAAAGGTGCCGCCACAAGGGGGTGGCTTGAAGAGCGGAAGGAACGATAGGAGCGGTAGGAGCAGGAAAAGCTACAACTGACCAGGTGACATAAATTCGAAGGGATTTCCTAGAGAGGGTACCAAAAATACCAGTGGATTGTATAATGATGTGAATTCTTTCAACCTGGGAATACCTCCTAAGATTTGAAAACAATACCTTTACCCTTAGTCTTTGTTATCATATTCATGTTAATAAGCAAAAATATTTCTAACATTACTGAGGTACAAATTAGAGTACTGCATCAAAACTGCATGAAATAATAAACATACAATGCTTTAAATTCATTCAGAATAATATGAATGGCATTTCGGTGGTAAGTAGATTTTTTTTATGTTCATGCTTTGTTTTTACCATTCCTATTCAATTATGATTGATAGCATAGTATTTTGTTTATTTGATTAACTTTAGGTTAGTATGGTGTATGAAATTGATGTTAAACAAATAAAATGTAATTAGATAATATGTATCTACATATACAACCCTAATTAGCTGAATTTATTTATTCAGATTCAAAAGCATTTTTTCTTTTTTTCAATGAGATTAGTTGGATTATGATTTTCCTCCGTAATTGGCCACGTTAATACTATATTAAATACTTAATTTTTCATTGGTCAAAAGCATGTTCCGGCTGGCTTTGTTGGCTTAATATAGTTAATATTTACTATATGCACACATTTGTTATGCTTTTTTGTGGTTTTAATGAATTCATATTAAATTAACTAGCCTAACAATATGTAAATTGTGACCAAAATCGAGCTGAAACCTTGTAAAACATAATTTAAATTAAATGCTCTATAATGCACAATTTCTAAAAGGGTATCGCAGGCTACCAAAACTTTCGCTTCGAAATTGCAACTTTAGTTTCTCGTACGTATTATTGAAGAACCCGAACTGCTGTATGTGAAAGACTGCAAAAGCTGAGTTATTTGCTGCAGAATGCGGGGGGTTCCTCCCACCTGCCACACGTTCGAATGTCGATTATCGCCGAGCTGCTGAATCCGAGTGTTTTCGCCGTTTTCCCACCGCCACCCCCCCCCCTTTCATTCTTCGTCCTTGGGATTCTGCAGTTTGACGAACTTTGTCGCCCGATAAATAATGCAATTTGTAATTAAGTCAGTCAACCAGTGAGTTAAGGGGGCGCCCGCGGGGCGTGGCAGCTGCGGTGAGTAATTAGAAACCTTTGCCAAACAACAAAAACAAGTGCTGTATTTGGCGGGGGAAGGGGTATGAAAGATATTGAAATGCGAACTAAAAAAAAAAGGAAAAACACGAAGGGATTTTTATGTGCTTGCTAACAGGGTGTAAAAATGTCAGAGCAGCCTAATTGAAAGCGATAAGTGTGTGTGTGTGGGGTCGTGGGTGTGTGAGTGTGTATGTGGAAATGTTTGAGTAATGAAATATTCAGCAGGTTAATTAAGGTAAATTGGGTTAGCCACAAGAGCCAAAGTTGCCCCGACGGAGGAGCTGTCTTTCTCTATGGAGTGCGGATTTTATTGGCACACACTTAAACGCACTCCAAAATACGCACTGAACGAAATAGAATTTTGAAAGTTTTCATTTACTTTTCACGTTTTTTTTTTATATTGAACTATTTAAACGATCAAATTTATTTACAATTGTCGATAACATATTGACTTTAATTTGCTGGTGAAGTTGATTTAAATGCATATGAAAATCGCATTTTTGTATCAAATAATAAATCGTTTTTTTAACATTCACTCTAATTTTTAAAAGATATTTATTGATTTCTCCATTGATCTCCATTGAACATTCAAAGATTGTTTTATTTATGGTGCTTTAAATTGCTCAATTTAACATTAGCGAATTTGTAATTCTAATAAATCTCTTCTTTTTTTTCCCATGTGCAGCACAATGAAACACTATTTCTGTTTTTTATTCTTTTTGGGCAACTGTCAACGCCCGCAAATTGCCATTGTCCTGCGGGACTTTGGCTCAGTTCCCATTGTTCGCATTTCCCCGTTTTCCACATTTCCCCCCACTTTTCCCACTTTTCCCATTCTGCCAACCCCCGCGACCCGCTGTCATTTGTTGCAGCTTACGCTTAATGCACAAACCAGA